CATTTCCCTGATTTTTTAAACAAATATTTTAATAAAAACATTTAATAACAGTGGGACTAGCTTGCCCCACTCACGGAGAAGAGCCTTGGCACTGTGGCCCCATCCCTTGGAACACTCTATCACCCAAGGTGAAAATTGCTCCCACACTTTTGGCCTTCTGGAAGGGTATTAACATCTGGGTTTGCTTGGGCTTGGGATCCTGTAGGGAATGCTCACCACTGGAGACGGTTAACAAGGTAAGAAGATCTCATCTCATGCCATCTGTTTCTTAGTCGTGTGTGTGTGTTTAACATTTTAATTTCATTGTTTTAATATTTTAATTCTTTTTCTCTTCGTCTTTTTATACTCTGCAAGCAGCCAGAGTCACCTTCCAGGGGAGATAAGCAGTGTAAAAATAAGTAAAATAAAATAATTAAAACAAAACAAATAAACAAGCTGGCATGCTGCAAAGCAAAGCACCAACTTTTAGCATCATATTTATCATCAACAATTGCTGTGGACCTGAAAAAGATCCACAGCTATCGTTGAGAGCATGTCAAGTAATTAAGCCACTTTCGTCTTATTTTTTTTATCCCACATCTCATTTAAGAGCTCATGATAGAATACATAGACTCCCTCTTTCTTTTCTACAACAGCAACTTTGTGCTCTCTTTTACACATGCGCGCACACACACACACACACACACACACACACACACACACCCCTGCAATATATAAAGAAATTGTTACAAATTCTTCCTCCTTAGTATGATGGGAAGAATTCTCCAAATCAAATTCAGTTTCTGATGGCCCCATAAACACAACCATACAGTTTTTGCAACAATAGTGTAGAATCATTTGCTATTAGTGTGGAGTCCTTGGTGTTCTCTAGACTGATGATATTATCTAGTTGGATAATGAAAGGTCTACAAGAAAATTACCAAGCTCAGAAAGCACCAAGGACCCCACAGTCCAAACCTGTTCAAACCATTCATCTGGGATGCTTTCTGACCTTCCAATCTAGCCTATAGCCCTAAGATTCCCTGGTGGTCTGCTACCCAAGTATTGATCAAGTTCAACTCTGCTGAGCCTCAAATTTATTGGCCATTTTCTATCTTCTACATCAATGTAGAATAAAGCTATATCTCATCTCCTGAAATATGACTTGCTTCTGATTCTTCTGATTGAAGAATTGATTCTGAGAAACATTTTCTTAGTATGTTTTTATTTCAATTTACAAACAGCTTCTGGCTGGTGCAGCCTCTACATTCTGTAAATAAATAATAAGATTTAAAAATAAGATTAAAAAGAAAGGAGGAAAAATAATTACATCAAACAGGGTGGTCCAAGGGATTTTCTTTTCTTTGTAAATTTTGTTTTAAAGTGCCATAGTCATTTATATTTTTACATGCTTTCAGAATAAGATAAGGAATGCCCCATGTGGTAGCAGTGTTAAGCTCCTTGAAAACAGCCTGGTGTTCTTTATTACCGAATGTTTATGTGTTTTAATCCATTATGCAAACCAACAGGATCAGATAAATCATAACTAAAATTTCTTTTTCTTCCTCGGAGCTGTGACATTGCATTTTTATCTTTGTAGTGGTCCATTATAGTACTAATGCGAATATTATATTTCCTCTTAAAGCCACGCTGTTAGAAAAACTGGCAATTTAAGAGGGTCTTAAATTTTTAGAGTTTTTAAGGAGAGAAATATTAATATACGTCCAATCAGTAGAGGAAAGAGGAAAGCTGTTTTACAAAGACATCATTAACTTTGACATATATTTCAGTTATCCTTAAATTAGGACAATCTTGGTTATCTTTCTTCAGTCTCAGGGGGGGTTTTTTACGGCTTTAACCGCCAGTTTTTGTAAATCCAGTAATGAGTCATTATCCAGGTTGTTTTTCATCCCTTGGCTTATCATTTGTATTTCCACTTTAGTTTTCATCTCTGTCTTACAATCCAAAACTTCTATTTTATTTTCTGATCTTTTCATATATGCTAGATTTTGTTTTATTTACAGATTCTGGCAATCTATAAATTCTTCCAAGATATTCTACCTCGCATCTTTCATTTCTTCTTTAAGATCTTTTTTAAATAGTGCCTTTTCATGAGCATATATTGTTGTTGTTATTGTAGCTGAAAGCTTCTTTCACATTTCTTCAAAAAAGCCTTTGAAATGTCCCCAGTGTAATACTTTTATCTGTCATCTTTGCAAGTTTCATTCCTGGTTATCAAATTCAAAAAAATAGAAAACAGACTTTTCTTTTTTCTTTTTCCTCTACCTGGAATCTTTAGCCACATCTAGTGTCTCCTTTGTGTAATCACATAGCCTGACTCAAATTTCTTTTGCTTCTTTTTTTTTTTAATCAACCAATCATTTCTTTCCTGAAAGACTAAACAATTTATATTTCTATAAGGATATTGTTTTGTTTTTAATTATTTCAAAAATCTTAAAGTAAAAGACATAATATTCCAAATATGAAATCAAATATTTCAAATTTGTCTGATCTCTTACTTTGTTCCAAACTATTTAAAATTCTTATCTAGCTTTTTGTTATTTGTTTGTATTCTTTAAATTCTTTAAATGGTTACTTAATTTTATTTTCCTTTATCCCAAAAGTGCTTTTTCAGGAGGCAACTGGACTTCCTTGTTTTTTGTTTTGAAGATGTTTTGCTTCTCATCCAAGAAGCTTCTTCAGCTCTGACAGGATAGTGGGTATAGTATATTCCTTGCAGACAGCTAGTAATTTGCACCCTTTTAGAGACTCATTGAAGCACTTGGATGTTTATCTGCACCTCAGGATCACTTGAGTAGTGCTCCTGGTTCCTGTAATCAAACTCTAGGCCCACGTTTTGGCCAGCAAAATATTGCAGGAGGCCGTCCAGACCAAAACGGGGTGCAGGAGACCTTATGTGGCCCCCCTGCACCCGGTTTGGCCAGCAGGGTACTGCAGGAAGGCGTCCATCGCATCTCCCCACCCTCCCCGGCCAGCCTGCAGAGGACAACTACAATGCTGATCTGGCCCTTGAAGAAATCTAGTTTGACACTCCTGCTGTAGTCTGAAATTTTTCCTCTGGAAATCCATTCCTACTCCCACACTATTCAAAGGGTGTTCAGCCCAAATTCTATAGCTAAAAGTCTGTAGAGATTCTCAGTCATCCAAGTTATACTTGTCCCAAAGGTGCTTCTTCAGGAGGCAACTGGACTTTCTTGTTTTTTTCTTTTGAAGACATTTTGCTTCTCATCCAAGAAGCTTCTTCAGCTCTGATAGGATAGTGGGGAATGGAAGGATTTATATTCCTTTCAGACAGCTGGTAATTTGCATCCTTTTAGATGGTCAATGAAGCACTTGGAGGTTTATTTGTGTTAGGAACTAGGAACACTACTCAGGTGACCATGAGGCAGTGGTGGGTTGCCCCCACTTTGGACCGGTTCTATAGAACCAGTAGTAAAACTGGAGGGAGGCTCCACCCACCGACCCCAATGTCATCAGGAAGCTTTTGCGCATGCACAGAAGCGCGCATGCGCAGCCCCATTGTGAAGCGGTAGTAAAGGTAAGTAGAACCCACCCCTGCCATGAGGACACAGATAAACCTCCAAGTGTTCAAATTACCAGCTGTCTGCAAGGAATATAAATCCTTCCATTCCCCACTATCCTGTCAGAGCTGAAGAAGCTTCTTGGATGAGAAGCAAAATGTCTTCAAAAGAAAAAAGTCCAGGTGCCTCCTGAAAAAGCACCTTTGGGACAACTATGACCTGGTGACTGAGAATCTCTACAGACTTTTTTTTCCTTTATTCTGGAATGGATCATCCATCCAGTAATTTTTCAAAGTTGTTCAGAATATATCTTTTAATTTTAAAATAGCTGTGTTTAAAATATCTTAATGTTTAGAAAATGTTTTTTTATGAACCCATTGTTCATATAAGCTCTGCTGGGCTTGAGAGCTTGATGGATCTCCTCATCTCCTGATGAGCAAACTCATGAGTTAAACAATGTCCTTTGGCCTTCTCATGAGGAGCAGCTGTCTTGAGTGCAAGTAGATGATTTCTCATCCTTTCTGTATCAGAGAGGTTCTGTTGGATGAGACTTGTCACTAGTTATGCCCATTATATAGGTAGTTAAATGCATTAATGGCAGGAGGGGAGATATAAAAATGTCAACTAAGTCCTACTAGTGTATGGGGTTCCAGTTTTAATGCTAAATTCTATACGTATAAAATATTAATTGAGTTCTCAATCATAATCTCAGTAAAATTAAGGCAATTTAAGAAATTAATGATTAATTGAACTTTTTTAGTTTGATACATCTATTCAAAAAACAAGTAATTAAGATACTTTTGTTTCTTGTCTTTTTTTCAGTCCTTAGTATTGGGTGAGTTTATATAGAAAATTTGTATTTTCATAAAAGGATCACTGCCCCTAAACAAAGTTTCTGAAGCTAATTGCTTAAATAAAGATGGTTATTTCTTTGAAGGACTTGTTATCAAAAATCTCAATCTTTTCTTACAATATTTCCTGTACAATATTTCCCAGTTTCTCTAGCGGCCTAGCCATTCTAACTGATGACAATGGGAATTGCAATCTATCATATTTGAGAAGTGGTCCGCTGGGGAAAATTTCTGTGAACCCTTTACTTTTACCTTAGGGAAGCCATTAGCTCTTTGATCACATAGCATCACTTTGTAGCAAAGACCCATAAAGAGCATGTTCAGGAGACAGTGATGTCCCTAAGAAGAAAGACACCACTCCTTGCTTCTGTCCTTTAGTTCTGGTTTCCAGAGAAAACTCTATTCCCTGGATTCATTTGTTAAATATATGACCCGCTCTTACTAGTTTTATCAGCATCCAGTTACATTGGTGCTTGCTAGAGTTTTTTTAAAAAAAAAGATTTAAGAAAAGTTTTTTTGGGGAGGTAGGGTTAAAGCTGAATGTGGTTGTGGGTTTTTCATAATCATGTTGTGAAAGACAGCAGGGTAACATGGAATAGGGTGGTTTTTTTTTTCCCTTTTGTTTGTCACAGTTATATCAGCAAGGAAAGTCCAGGCATGTTCAAACAGTACTTTAACCTTATTCTCATATTACTGCTACCCAGAATAAACATCCAAGAGTGTTTCTGTGGACACTGCTTCAGATGATTGCTTTCTGTTTTCCTTAGCTGCTCTCCCTTGGGTAAGGCAGACAAGACAATGCGTTTTCTCCCTCGAGCTATCATCTTAACTTGCATATGCTTTATTTCCCTGTTATGGTGGCACCATCATCTCTCTACCCCTCAGCAGCAAGGTAAGATACCCCCCTCCCCAATCCCTGCTCTGAAAGCAACACTAAGCTGCCTCAACTAGCCAAAGACATGTGTTGAGGAAATATAGGCAGTGGAAGGCACTTTCCTATGTTCTTAGAATCAAGAGTTTTAATATGCCTCTTGCAATAGAGGCCATGGAAATTTTAATAAATTTATTAAAACAAAAATCAACCGTCCCTAACAAATATGACTTAATTGGAGAAACACTCCTTCAAATCTGCCATATTCTCTTTCTTTTTTTTTATACAGACATATATATCTGTTACAGTTTATTAACATTGCCAATGAATCCTGGCTCCATAGCAAAGGATTAATTTTAGTGACCCGGTAACACATAACCAACAAATAATAGTACTAGAGTAATTTATACTCAGTTGTTCCCTCCTCTTCCTTTTCAAAAAGTATCTTAATAATATAAAAATATAACTTTATTGATATAGTATAGCAGTAAAATAAACCCACCCACTATGTATTTATTTCAAGTGTTCATTATTTGATTGGCACTTGGTGGTAGGAGAAAATATGTACAATAATCTCCCTCTCAGCAAGCTATTGCAGGAGCAGATAAACTTGTCAATACCTGGAGTTTCACATCATCCTTTCAGGAGGGCAAATTGTTGAACGGGGTCTGCCTCACATGTTGCTTGGGTGGGGCCATGCAACATTTATGAGAGGAGATGTGGGTTTGGGATCTTTTTCTAGTTTGGTATAAAATCAAGTTGTTTTGGAAAAAGCTATGTTATCACATCCTATAAAACTATTTGTGTAAGCTTCTTGTCCCAAAAAGTTAGGGAACAATGTTGCTGCTTACTCAGTGGCACAACTGGAGGAGAATAAAAAGAAGGGAGCTTACAGTCATAAGTATCTCTGTGGCCACAAGGCCCTTATTAGAACTAAAGGGACAAATATTATCAAGCAGTTGATGATACACATCCTTGAATAGCTTTTCCCATCCTGTGTTTACAGACCATTTGACCATCAAAGAGGAAATTGCTGTACCTCTCACATTTGATTCTCTGCTACATATTCAGCAGGTCAGAAAAAAGACATTGCGGTCTTTTTGCAGGAAAAAGAGCAAACTCACTAAACTTCTAGCTACCCAAAAGGAAGCTTCCCAACTACTCTCTTCTATTGCAGTGAGTCACAAACTGAATTTCCTGTATTGCAAAATACCAGGCACCGGGGTGGAAGAGTGGGAGCAGCTGTTGGAAGGGATATTGGAGAACGAAAATGTCACATTGCAGGTGCCTGTGCCCTTTCACCAGGACTTTGGTAACAAAATGGCCTTGAGTAAATATAACTTGACATCAATGGAAGCTCTGCTTAAAGCCTACACAAAAGTGGTTTTCATTAGGGATCCTTTCCACAGACTCATTTCTGCTTACATGCATCAGATGGCAGATAATTTAACCTTCAAAGAGTTCATTGACTATATCTTGTACAGTGGATTGAAGAATGCCAGTGTTGAATGGACACCCTTAGTCAAGCTGTGTCATCCATGTCTTGTCCGATATGACTATATAATAATGTTTGGGTTTCTTGGCAATGAAGTGTACCATTTGATGCTCCGGACTGGATTCCCAGATAACATCCAGATGCCCAAGTTCATGGACTCCAAGATCCAGTGGACATATAACTGGCTAGAAGAAGAGATGTTCAGTGAATTATCCCTTGTGCAGAAGAAAAGGCTTTGCCGTTTCTTTCGATTTGACTTTGCTGCATTTGCCTTTCCCAGAAGTTTGCTCTGGGACCTCATATGCATTTCTGGAAAGAGTTAAGATTACTTTAGACATCAAAGAAGAATGCCCAGAACTGAACCAATGAAGTGAAATCTCAGACTCTTACAGAATGGGGACCTAGCCTTGACATCTAGCGGAACCAATTCCATAATGTAATTACGTGCTTTGCAAAGAAACACTTCCTTTTATTGGTCCCAAATATTCTGGAATTATTTTTTATTTTATGCTCCTTAATAATCTGCAAATAATCAAAAGCATTGTCCAGATACAGAGCTTTGGGGAAATTTCACTGTTCACATTCTCCCATAACAATGGGATCTATGTTCTACTTGCATGCCTGCTGAAGTGGTTCATGAACCTTTGGGGAATAATTTTTTTTTTAAAGCATTTTAAAGTCCAAGAATATAATAGCCATCATATTGGTCATGTCTACTTCTGTGAAGTTCTCCATTTTTGGCCTTGGGGGCACATTAGGGTTTTGAGAAAATGGAGCTCTTACCAAATGGCTACTCTAGAGGATATAGTCAACTGCAAAGCACACCCTTAGCAGAATGGCTGGTCTCCAAATAGGTGCTGGGCTTTACACTTGTCTGGTATTTTACACTAGTCTGGTCAGCAATACAGTGGTGTGTTGCTACCAGTTCGCACTGGATCGGGCGAACCAGTAGCGCCGCCTACTTGCCTGGACGGTTCTGCACATGCGCAGAAGCACCCTGCGCATGAGTGCACACGTGCGCATGACCAAATTGGTAGCGACGGGATTTGGAACCCATCCCTGCAGCAATACTGCTGCAGGAGAGTCTGCAGCACATTTGTATTACTGTTATTAATGGCATTTCATTCAAGGAAAACCAATTTAGTGAAACAAAGATCAAGTTTGTGACTCAATGTCTCAAGAATGCCAATTTGAAATGCCATCATGTTTTCATGTTAACATAATCATTTCATGACTTTGTTTTTCAGGTTGGGTAACTGGAGACAAGAAGCATCCACCAGAGGCTTTAGATTTTAATTGCTTGATAGAGGTTTTGAATAAAAGGAATGATGCACTTCTGGTGTGTTGCACTGTTTCCCATTTAATTTTTTGAATGACTACCCTTTGAATTCTGTATTTCCCATGTTATTCTTTTAGTTATTGCAAAATGGAGTTATATTCACACATTCCTGCCTGAACTATCTACAGGTGATATAAAAATCAGAACCACTTAAAATTTTACTTTTGAAGATATCAAAATAACTGTTGTGGCAGAAAGCTTTCAGTACAGGACCAATATATCACCATCTCTGATAAACTTTGTGACTCTTTACAGTTCATTATCCACGTATGGCTGGATGATTCAGTGGTGGTATACTGATTTTTAAGAAGAGATTGGACACTTGAGCAGGTGATTGGAAGACCTCCAAGGTCACTTCCAACTCTCTTATTCTGTATTCTATTATGTATAAATTAATGGTCCATATTTGATCTCTACATTTTGGCCACATCTAATTAATACAGTCCAGATTGGAATTGTATAGAGAATATAACATTTGATTCCCAGTGACTGTAATCTCTCTAGGCAGATCTAGCTTCCTCCATATACATTTTGTGAAATATTTTCTCTCCTAAATGAGAATGATGTTCTTATTTGATGATGGGGAGGAGGAAGGACTAATATGTTGCATTTGGCAGCCACTGACAAGGAGAAAACCTTCTTCCATTCAAGGCATAGTTGTTCCTGGCAAACATCCAGGAGGAGGGAGGATGCTGTGTGTCCTCTGAGTCATCATAACATTATGTAGAAACAACAAAAGCATTTAAATACATGTTTATTTTTCAAAATGTTTCATTTAGAGCCGACATCCAGATTGATCATAAAAGAGTAAGCTCATTTAGAAATGTCTGTAATTTATGCAGGTAAAATTAATCTGCATGCTTCCTGGAAAAGTAGCCTTATGAAGAATCATGAATAACAAGATGTTATTGATAGCTATTCCTTCTTTTGCAAATATCACGGAGCAGATACATTTAACTTGATTTCTTGCTTATCATCCCATTTTATGGCCACATTTTATAACACAGACTTTGTTAGCTTTTAAAAAAGGCCAGTGATAATTTTTTCAATTAATTAAGTGAATAAGAAACCAAAAAGTAGGCTTTCAGAATGGTCTTTTTCTTCAACAGGATATTAGATATGCCTCGTGAAGTAACAAAAAACCACTTGCTAAGATTGAAATGATACTACTCCATTATTTTCCTTCACGTTACTTCAACAACTTCATCCAACATTTTAAATGATGAGAAGAGATTTTTATCATGACCTCAGACCCTGGATGCTTTAGAGGTGATCATCACAGCAACATCAAATGCACCAAGAATAGCGTCATTTCTATGATGCAAAATGCTTGATTGAGGTGAATTGCAGCTGTAGGTAAAAAAAGGAAAAACTCATCCTAAATTGTAATGCAGAATCAATCATGGTTAAACCCAGAATAGTGATGAATCCTGGTTGCCACAAAAAAAAATGGAGCAGAACTGGTCACTGGCCTAGTAATGCACTTTGATTTGCCTATCTCATGTATCAATATTAGAGCAAGTGGCGATATCAGGACATTGACAGCCCTATGAAACAATCTCTTCTATTTCTTCTGTCAAAACACAGAACAGTAGCTATCAACACCAAATACAAAGTATTGTTTTAATAAATGACAAACAAGAGTTGTAACCAATTTATTTCACCTTATTATAAAACAGTACCATAACTCCCTTTTTACAATCTTGTAGTCCGTGAGGACATTTAATATGCAGCATGGTTGTACTGTATTCCTCGACTCAGCAATCACTTGTAAAAACAACACGTTTGATTACAATTTAGTCATACTTAGAGTACACCCATTGAAATCATTAGGAATTAAATTACATGAAAATAATATGACTATATTTTTCCATTCAAGATTTGAATCGGCAGTGCTTACGTACTTCTTCACTTTTGACAGATTAATTTCTTTTGTTAGAAAACACTAAAATGTTGTGTGTTGTTTTTCTGTTGTAGGAATGTACACATTGCTTTCATACAATTTTCTTCGTATCAACCAGAAACCGCATCCCAAGAGCCCAAGGCAAAGTCAAGATCTTTGAATGACACCATTACCTGGTTTCTGAACATTTGGAAATGAGATTGTAGTATTTGACATTGATTCTAAAATTTAGGATTCTAAGATCCTAAAAGAATAGCACAAAAAGTACAATGGGATTTGTTGTGGGAGAAATGGAGAAATGCCCAATAGTTATATGGTGAACTAAATGGCTTTTAAACACTTCAGATATATTATGAACTAATTCATCTTCAGGAGGACAGTCCAGTCAGTTCACCTATACATTTCTCCTCCTGAGTTGGAACTAATATGATCAACTTGTCCAGGATTCTTCCCATTTCTCTAATATTTTAGGGTTCCTTAACTTCTTATCTATAGAAAATATGTTTATTGTACAATGTATTTCATTTTTTGTAATTTGTTTTAAAATTCATGGATTTGGGACATATTCATCATGAGTACAGAATGCAATAATAATAACCCTAGCCTTCACACAAACGTATCATAGCATAGAATGGATAAAAGGGGAAAAATCAATATCCATGTAGCGGAGTGTTTGGTTAAATAAACACTACATTCAACAAACACTATAGGGTAAAATATGGGAAGACCCTAATAAGCCTCCACAAACTGTGCTTTTGTGCAATCCCACAATCCTCCATTTAACCTAACCATTCTTTCTGACAAAATTAAACTGACGATAATGTTCCATAAGTTGTGAGAAAAACAGCTTTCTATGATATGTCCACATATAGGTTACTGATATCCTGTATATGTCAACTCAAAAGTAAGTCCCATTGAGTTCAATGGATCATGATCCCATGGATTTGGGTTTTGGATCGTTATATGCCTCGCATTTGCTCCCTGGGGTGATTGTCTCACTCTGACTAAGGGGATGACACTGATTTTACTCTAACAAATTTGAAAGAACAGGAAGCTGAAAACAGAGGCCAAAAATGCTCTGATAGCCATTAAACTACCTCTCTCATTCTTAGTACACAAAAGGAAAATGAAACAATGGCCTCTCCTGACTGTCTTACCATCTTCAGTGATCCATCCAAAAGATTAAGAGGAGCATAAACATAAACAATTGTTTATAATCAAAATTGTAAATTAGAGAAAATACCTTTGGAAGATGAAGTAATAAAAAAGATTTTAGATTGTGCAGAAATGAACCAATTAACTTTGTTGATTAAAGATAGGGAAGAATCAGAATACTTTAGAATATGGAATTATTTCTATTGTTGGTTGGAAAAGAGATATAAATGATTAATTTTATAACTACGTGTAAAAATTTGATGGCAAGAATATGGTTGTAGGAATGAACTTTTATAGTGGTTTGGATGATGATTAAGATAGAAGAAACTGTTGGAACAAGAAGAATAAAAAGAACTGAAGAAGTCAATACCGAGATGTCACAGGGTAGGGATGATTGATGTATTAAATGTTTGTTTGTCTTAAAAAATAAAAACTTTAAAAAAAAAAGATTAAGATGAAATTAGATGTGATGATGATGATTAATTGGCTGCATCAAATCAGCTAAAGCTACATTTTTGAGGCTGGATCTCATGATTGCACTTGAAAAGTGAACATATGCATAGTGTTTCCCTGATTTTCACTGCAAACTTAAAGGAACCATTGCAAACTTTCTGTTCACAAAAGAAAAGTAATTTTCTCTCCCTCCCTTTGTTATATATAACATGTGCAATAATTTATCAACAATAACATTTTTCTTGATCAACTGATACTTCCACAATTACATTATAAAGCTTTCTCAATCAATAAGGTAGACACAGAATACAGTTCTGATTTCAGCTTAGAGGTACTGCTTTGGTTGGTCCCTGGAGATAAAACCACTTTAATAAGTGGAGCTAATTTCTAGAGATGTCTTCATTCACACATTCACAGACCATGGTTTGAAAGTTCCTGGTTTAGCAGGTGGACACTAAAAAGAAAAAAAAATGGGATGAGAATAAATTATAGATCCGTGATGACGAACCTATGGCACACGTGCCACAGGTGGCGTGCAGCGCCCTCTCTGTGGGCATGAGAGCTGTCGCCCCAGTTCAGCTGTGCCACACATACTCGTTTGCCTCCCGCCAGCCAGCTGGTCATCAGATCTCTGCTGCACATGCACAGGGGAGCGGGGGAGTGCAAGGGGCGTGTGTGCATGCGTGGGGCTGGGGCACATGCATGGGGCCATGCACGCATTGCATTTTGGGGGTTTGGGCACACATGCACGCATTCATACACGCACGCACACACTTTGGGCACTTCGCCTGGAAAAGGTTAGCCATCACTGTTAAAGATGTTTCAATTTTTTTGTATTTTCAGGTAGGGCTGAAAATAGGTTTTGAAGTCCTGAAGTCCTGAACCAATAATATTGGACTTCATGGGTCAAGAGTCATTTTTAAGGATGACAAAAGATTTTAATTTTGTTTTCTCTTAATAATTTCTGCAGCTATATTGACTTCAGTTCATCAATCACAAATTTTTTTTAAAAAGTTGGACTAACAATTGCATGAATTTAGGAATACATTTCTCCAAACATATACAGCTTTGTTTGCAATTGTACCCAATGTTTAAAGTTTTGCAAATAATTTTGGTAATAAAATATATCATGGTGCATTATATTCATTAATATCTGCATTTTAATGGACTTTTACTTAATGTACTTGACTGCATTGACAAACTTCTGAAAGACTCTTATTTTAGAAAAAGTGTACTTTATTGTACCAGCTAAAAGATCAAGGTTCAAGTCAGAAATCTTTGTTCAAATCTTGCTTTTCCCATGGTCTCGCAAGGAGATCAACTTTGCCATTAAGATTTCAAGATTATACATTTTGAATCCTTGAAAAGCACCATAAAATTGTTAAATTGTGATAACCAAGTGTTCAGGAAAGCCTTTACCAATTGAAAGCTGGGTCCTGGTTCATGTTGATCTAATGCTTAATGAATTATGCTTGCAGAAGAGAATAAAGGAGATAAATTAACTTACCAATTTGGTGAAGGAATCAACACAAGCATTGCGTATTCTTTCTGGAGTAACTGGACTATCTAATCTGAATGCTCCTTTCAATGCAGATTCTTTCCTTGCAGAGACAATTGCATCTTTGATAGCATAAAACACAGAGGCTGCTAAGAACAATGGAGGCTCACCCACAGCCTATGGAGATGAAAGAGCAAAAGGCCATGCAATCTTCCATCAAAAACATATTCTCAGCATAAGATATATATATCACATATAACATACTGATTCACAATTTCACTGGACCACATACTGTGGAATTACTAGGTATAATGATGGAAAAATGTATCTTTTGTGCATAATTTGTATGTTGTATTCCCCGTTATGCTCTCTTATATGACATCATCAGCTAACTTGTGGATATATCATTCAGTTTATAGGCAACTAATGAGGACAATCTAGTAGTGTGGATTTGGAGAATATAAATGGTCCCTGACCATATTGAAGGAGTTTGTTGGTAGGACTCAAGACAGCACTTCCTTCTTTTGATTTTTTTTCCTTTCACCCAGGCTTTAGTGCTGAACATTAGTCTTGTTCAAATTTTTGTTCTCGTCATAAGAAGAATCACGTGATAATAAGTATGGGGTCATGCTCATAAATTCATTCCCCTCCAAAGACAATTCTATAGTCTGAATCTAATTTCTTCTATCCATATGTTATACTGTATATATTGGGAGGTATGTGTCTGTAGAAGAAAGCCTGCTTTACTCATATAGACTCCAATTCCAATCATTCATGGAGCTACGTTTCCTGGGAACGTATACTACTACAGCAAATTCTCTGCTTTTAAGGTTTTTTCCCAACATGTAATGAATCATCACAATTGAATAACTCCAATATAATGGAAGCAACAATGGGTCCACTTTCACTTTTACAGGCTTCCCAATTGTGAAGGACAAAGACAAATATATCTGTCTGTTAGGGAATAACTCTGAGTACCTCCAGGACCAATAAGCAGTGATATTATTGAACTTGTTTAATTAATTATGTTTAATTAGACAAATTAGGTTTGTCAAACACCTTAGGCTAAGCTCAAATGGAATTGTATGTGATTCAGCATGTTGTGTGAACCTGATCATCATATTGAGCCATAGTATTGTTTAGCTACTATTTACAGCATTGTGTTAAGCTGCATTTAGGATTTAAAGTGGTCTATGCATTCGGCCAAAGAATACTTAATTACTGGAGAAACATTTACAATATAATAAACTTTCTAATGCCAGGAACCCAAGTAAACAAAATGAGCAATTCCAGATCATCCTATAGTAAGGTCATTAAAATGTTTTAAGGTAAGGCAGGATAATATGGAAGAGATAAATGGAGTTGTTAAAACGTAATATTTATATTCCTCAGTGTAGTAGTATGAAAATCATTATGCTCTGATGCTCCAGCTAATAAGTTCTGACTTAGCATCGGCCTGTCCTATAAATATTACACTGTTTTAGAATGGTGGATAAAAAGAAAAAATAAGGGGGGAGGGGAACAATCACAAAAGGAAAGGGAGAAAGAAAGATATTCTTCAATAGAACATAGAATTAATCCAGTGATATTCATCACCTAAAGTCAGGGGTGGGAGTCTATCGGTTTGGCCGAACCGGTCCGAACCGGTAGCTCCGATGATCAGCTGGGAGCGAAACAGAACCAGTGGTGGGATTCCGTCAGTTCACACCACTTTGGGAGAACTGGTTGTTAACTTTCTGAGCAGTTTGGTGAACAAGTTGTTGGATGAAATTATTAGGGCAGAGAACTGGTTGTAAATTATTTGAATCCCACCACTGATCAAAACCAACGATCAGCTGGGCCTGCCCGCTCACCCCTGTGCTTTACTTACCTTTTTCTTCGCAGCTGATTAGAGCAGCAGAGCAGATTGCCGCATCTCAGCTGTTTTAATTCCCTAGCACTAATGCGGAAGGTGATTTTTCATTCAACTGTGAAGCGCGCAATCACCAAACCAGTTGTTAAACCAGAAGGATGCCCCCACTACCTAAAGTATATTTGATTGTTTTCTGGTTACTTACTGAAGCAATCAAAGCAAGATCCCATGTTGCTAATTGTTATGAAATATCTGGAGTACAGGAGATATGAGAACAGTGTTCTGCCTTGCATGTATGCTTGGTAAGTTAATATGTTAATTAACAAATGGAGAAATGTATTTCTCAATGAGATATTTACCTTAGATGAATAAATGGCTTTGCTGTTTGGACAATCCCGGAGAAGAGAAACATGGAACTCTGATGGAATGTCACCAAATGCAGGGATCTTGTACATTCCAGGCCCTCGTGTATACAAGTTGCCTTCGGGGGAATAGCGTAGCTCCTCCATGGTAAACAGCCCAATTCCTTGGACAAATGCTCCTTCAATCTGGAAAAAATAAATCAAGTCTAAATTTGTTCTTTTCCTTTCTCTTCCCCATCTCTTTGGTAACAATTGAAAGATAAAATGGGTTTAAAGATTTAAAACCCAAATATTGCACAGGTTTCTGCAGACATGCTTAGGTCAGCTTCCTAAATACTTAATTATGACTGCAATCCTATTCCAATGTTCTTGGGAATAGACCCCACTGGGTTCATTAAGACTGTGTGTAAACTTATCATCAAACTAAGAAAACTGCTCAGTTGAAAGACTTCAGAGCCAGACTGCAATTATTTAGCGATTAAGAAAAACATTGTTTGCAGACATTATATAAATCGCATTACATGATCATTGCTTAAATGAGTGGCAAAGCAACTAATACAATTATAACGAATATATTACTTTACCATCTGTTGTAAGCCATGGTTTAATGTGTATGCTTGCTAATGCATTTGGACATTATTCTGAATTGCATTAGCAATAAAAGCCAAACTTCAATGGTCCTCTGCTCAGGTATGGCCATGAAAGGCAGACCCAATTGGTCTTGTTCAGATGGTGACTCTGAAGTGTTTTTTCGGTAAGGTATTCAGATAACCCCTCTCCCCTCCTCTCCCTGCCCTTTACTATGGTAAGATTGGCCTCCGTCCAAGTATCTACATGCTCCAAGGAAATCTGTTTTGCTGGAAACGTTTGCACATGCAGAGTAAATGTTTGCAAGTTCCTGACTCAAACACATTTTGTCTTACATGCATATACATTTCTCCTGTAGACATTAACAATGAATTTGTGAATATTACAATGAAACTTGTTATTTGAGTAATGTTCGCAGAAAAGATGATTTATCAGATAACATGCATGGTGAATGATTCAATTCAAGTGACACCTGAATGGGGCTTGTTTCCAAACTTCAAAATGTAGCTATTCTGAGTAAATTGTACGGTAGTTATTTAGTCAAGTTCATAAATTTCAGAGGTGGCTTGTTTCCCAAAACCATAGATCATATGTATCAAAACCTGTGATCTCTTGTAGAGACGGGTAAAGTTCATGAGGAGCCAGAGGCTCATGCAAAGACCTTGCTAATATTAGACCCAAAAATGGTTCATGTCATAGTGCAGATGAAAAAAGAAATGATAACATGTAGTTAAGAACATGAAACATAAATGTAAAAGTCCTTGGGAACAAAGCTTATTTACAAGAAAAACATTTGCAGATGAGGTTCAGAGTGTACCTAGTATAAAAAACGTAACAGAGTTAAATATTAACCAGTACCAATTTTAATATTATCACATATTGAAGGTTTGCCAGCTCAAGTGTGTATATATTCAACTAGATTATATGTCTAAATCAGTGGTCCCCACCCTTTCCGTCTAGGCAAACCAGCGAGGGGGGTGAGAGGGGATGGTTCCATGTGAGCAGCAGGCACGCGCACCACCACTCTTGAGCAAATGGAGCTTTACACGTGAGCGTAAGCGTCTATCAGTTATGAAAGTTGAGCTGTGTGGCCACAGCCCAGTAGTTGGCCACACCCTGGGGGTTGAGGGCCCCTGGTCTAGATAATGGGTTTGTGGCATGATATTTGGTTGGTACTACAGGAAGTCTGATAGTTGGCTACATATCTGAATTTAGTAATTTAGGTGAATTGCAACACAGGTTAAAACAGAAATTTCAGTTTCTCCAAAACATGTGAGCATTTTCGGAAATGAATCTACCCTGTAATGAACAAACCATTTTCCTTTTTCCAGTGGCATAAAGATATGCATCATGTGCAAAACACTTGAAGGCTAACACAAACTGATAATAAATTAGCAATTGACAGTTTCCTGTGTTAAAAGAGTTCATAGTACTGCTGCCTTTTGCTGATTATTAACCAAGGTAATCTGTCTGTTTGTATACACATTTATTTCAGCTTCACAGAGTACAGACAACTTGCACTGCTTACCTGCCCTATATCTATAGCTGGATTCAGGCTGGTGCCAACATCCATCACAATATCAGTGCGAAGATTCTAAATATTGAAACAAATAAAGGCTGAGTAAACACGAGGCTAACCACATACTATTAGCTAACTATGCATATCATTTGACTTGATGTTTTTTATTCATTTGTTTCATGGAAGCTGAGCTGAAACTAACCAGGTCAAAATTCAGCTTAGATATTGATGTTGACAAGATAACAAGATAGAGAAGAAACAGAATACTATAAGACAGTGGTGAAATCTAAAATTTGTTACTACTGGTTCTGTGGGCGTGGCTTGGTGTGGGGGGTAATGTGACTGGGTGGGCGTGGCCAATTTTTTTTTTTACTTTTAAAACCATTTTTAAACCATGTAAAACCATGTAAAACCATGTAAAAAATGCTTTCAAAAGGCTCTGACGATCCCAGCCGAGTTGCCTGATCGTCAGAGGGGTTTTTTAAAAACCCTCTGATGATCAGGCAACTTAGCTGGGATCGTCAGAGTTTGGATCGTCAGAGGCATTTAAAAGAAAAAAAGCCTCTGATGATTGCACAGCTCAGCTGGGCATGGGGAGCAGGGGCAGGGATTTTTGCTACTGGTTCTCCGAACTGCCCGCCGCCATCGCTACCTACTCGCCCAAGCCGGTCCAAACCGGGAGCATTTCACCCCTGCTATAAGATCTGGAATATATGGTATAATTGGTTAGAAAACAGATGTAAAGTCTTTATGTAAAGACTTTATGTACTTTAAGTCTTTATGTACTTACATAAAGATTACGTAAGAGTCATATCAAAATGGGAAAATACTGTATATATTTGTCAATATTGTTACAATTAAAATATGGATAATTAAATGATTATATAATATATAGAATAGTAATCTATATAATTAGAAACTATGTTAATATGAGTGATACCAATACTGGAATGCTGTAATGAGTAGAGATGTGGTGTTAAGGTTGAAATATGTTTAATAAAAATCTATTTTAATGATAAAAAAAGATAACTCTCAGTGTGACTTTAAGATCCCAATCTCAATGCAATGCAATGCATCACAAAACTTGATGATTTTAAAAATTATCCTGATTATAGAATTTATTGCTTAAAGATGCAGCCCTTTGGAGTTAAGTGTCAGGGTGGCCTTCACATTTGTGGAAATCCATCATCACTATGAAATTAATGATTAAAACAAAATTAAAGAAATAGATTATAAAAGTTCCACTACAAATTTGGAAATGTTTTTACCAATTTCATAACCAGAGGAATCCAGCAAAACAAAATACACCATGTGATTTAAAACAACAACTATATAACCCTAGTTAAAAAAAATAAGCACAGAGCAAAAGATTTATTAAAGTTCACACAATCTAAAGACAAAAATAACTAATCCATTAAATTCATTCCTAATTATTGTAGAATGTCCCTCCAAACATCAAAATGAAGAAGTGCTTTTAACTGTTTAGTATGTCTGCTTACCTTATGGTCACCAGTCAGACAATCTATCTCAACCTCAGAACAAGAAACACCATAGGAGAAATAATGGAAAGGCTTTCCTGCATTCTTCGAGAAGTCATACCCAACATTAGGAATTCTTAACAGAAAGGGAACAAAAGGAGGAAAATATAAAATCATCGGAGAGATTATAAGGTACAAAAGGCAATGCATGAATCAATGTATGGACATGGCCAAAGCAAGGTTGGTTTGCAAGAATAAAAAGAGATGGAGAAATATAGCGAACAGCTGGGAGTAAACTAAATTGTCTACATTTCATTTTTTTTTTGCTCATGATAGCTTTGATCTCTTCGGCCTACAATTTCTTTTTTTTTTTTTTTCTTTTTTTTTTCATTGTTGCTTACCCCAAAAGGAAAGAGCAGGAAGGATGTGCCTGTATGCATGTATAGCTTTTATTATTATTGCAGGAAAATGACTAATTGTGATTTAGTCCAATGTTGTTAGGTCAGAATATCTGAAAGTTACTAGAGTAAAGCAATATAGGGGACTCTGAAGATCCAACCATGATTCTTATTAATCAATATTATCAAGGGGACTGAAAGCAAAATGTTTGCACTTCCAACCTGGTCCCCAAAATCTGGAGGTCCCACTGACGGCCGGCATAGAAGAATTATTTCAGTTATTCCATGAAATAAGCTGCATTCATTCCATTTCTTTATTACAGCATTCTTCCTCTTCTGCCTCTGGCGCTCAGCTATAAAAACATTTAGCTGTTCTCTCTAATTCTTATGTATTATTTAGAGCATGCAAATATCGTGACTCAAGTCAAGACTGCTTAGAGTCTGGGATTTCCAGAATAAGTAGAGTTACTATGTTAGTAGAATGTGGATAAGAGACAACTCTCTCTGATCTTCTTTATTATAAACCCATTTTATGAAATTAGCTTATACCTAAATCCCCAACAGCAGAAATAATATCCAAATGCCAAACCTTATGACATTCTGCAGATCGTCTCTCTGATAGTTTCACTCACCTATAAAACCCTGTAGCTGATAAACTCACACAATCATGATAGGCTGCTAACACCTAGTGAAAAAAAACATATAAAATTGTGTTAAGCTTTTCTCAAACAGGAATAACTGTAATATCCTGGGGAGACTGGAAGTGTTTCATTGAGGAACATAAGTATCCATAAGGAAAACATTATGAACAAAACGTTTTTGTTTTAAATCCAAATTTCTTTTCAACTAGTAAGGTTCAACTTTAAAAATGTAATAGACCTTTGCCCAAGATCAACATAAAACAAAGAGTGCTCTATGTGAGAGTGCAATTGATATTCTGAGGGTTGTACACAATTACCCTCCAGTTATTGCTCATCTCCAGTTCCAAATAGCTGCAGTGAATGCGGGGAAATGCTGGCAACTGTAATTCAACAGCATCTGAAGGACTACAAGTCTGCATCTTCAACATTTCTCTTTACCTAGAAGGGTGTCCCACAGAACTAAATGGCATTTCCTTCTGAATAGAAATGTACAAGAGTGCATTGCTAAATATTAAAATGGCTTCTAATTGTGCTTTTATATTTGTCAACTCAAAACTGTGGGCAGCCTTATTCTGCATTGATATTTTTACAGGCTTTAGACCAAATAGATGGCAACATCAGACTAAACATGGCTGATATGACACCTCTCCTGCGTGAGCTGCATTGGCTCCCAATGGTCTTCCAGGTGCGCTTCAAGGTATTGGTTCTCATCTTCAAAGTGCTCCATGGCTTAGGGTCCGGTTATTTATGAGACCACCTTCTGCCACCAATATCCTCCCACCGGCCAATACGCTCCCACAGAGAGGGCCTCCTCAGGGTGCCGTCGGTCAGGCAATGTCAGCTAGTGACCCCCCGGGGAACAGTCTTCTCTGTGGGGGCACCCGCCCTCTGGAATGAGCTACCCCCAGGGATACAACTGATCCTGTACCTCCGGACCTTCCACCGGGCCCTGAAGACTTTTTTATTTCTGCAAGCCGGGCTGGGTTAAAAAAAAAAAAATTGGTGAATTTTATGGGTAAGGGGTTTTTAAATTGAGGGAAGCCAACGATAAATTTAATTTTGCTTTATACTATTTTAATGTTTATATTGCACGTTTTTTAATTTTGGCTGTTCACCGCCCCGAGCCCTTCGGGAAAGGGGGCGGTATAAAAATTTAATAAATAAATAAATAAATAAAATATAGAAATCTAAGTTGCATTGGCTTTTATCAACACATGGATGGGGGACCATTTGTAAAGTCCGGAGCTATAAACTAGGTTGGGGGGGATTTATTTATTTATTTTTAAATTTTGTTTGCCACCCATATCACTGCAATTGAAAGGTAGTGGGGAAACTGTTTCCATATCATATCAAGGAATCTGCATGGATGTATCTCCAGGAATCAAGCTTGGTTAGAAGGCAACCTTACCATCCTGTAACAGATAAAAATACAGAACAAGACACTTTTATCACCACTACTCCTGTAGAGCACATCCTGTATAATCACAATGACATGAGTTGTCAGCATTAGAACTAGAAAATTGTAGTAGTTGCCTCCCACAAAACTCCACTTATCTAGAAGAAGCCCCAGATTGGGGGAGGCTGCCATATAACATTAATACAGAATCAAGATGAGATATGACAACAATACAATGCTATATGTAGCAATTAAGAGAAAGCTTCTCAGAATGAATGAATGAATGAATTGTATATAGTAGCACATATTATACAGGTAGCATATTTATATTATTTAAACTTCAACTTGCACTAAATAAAAACATACCCAGTCTTTCCACGATCCTTTTCGGTTAGCACATCTGAATGGCTCCAATCGTTCTAAGATGGTCTGGCAAGCATTCTAACAAATAATCCGAATCAAAGAAAAAATTGTTACAAACATAATCTCCAATATGCCTGCAATTATATCTACATAGTTTTATTTGTCTGAAACTGACCTCAAAGGAATAATAATGTAATGATCTATTTTATATTTAAAATTGCCATGTCAGGCACTTTTAAAGCAGCAACTGCACATATACTTAAAACAAAATCAGATTGCCCACTTTTACAGTGCAAACTAAATAAATTGTTTCTTGAACGCTCAAGCCAGACAGACTTATGCTAACAGCAATGATTGTGTAAGTCAGCTTTTCTAACTTTTGTGGGACTGTACATCACAGATACGATCTCAGAATTGCAGACTTTGGCTATGGAAGCTAAAAAAGTAGAATTTGATCCAACACATCTGGAGGATAACAGGTTGTGGAAAGATACTATAGAGATACCTAAGAGTCTTCTATTATTGTATTGTTTATTTCAAATTAAACATCAGTTGAAGCTTAACCACCAGATATTATCATTCCAAATGTTGCCTTTTTGATCAGCAGTAGAATTCCAGGGTCTAAGACAAAGGATTTTCTCACCAACATATAGATAATAGCAGTCCATCACTTATTTAACACTTTTCTTTTACATTAAACTTGTATTAATAACACCTTTCGGGGGGGGGGGTGCAGCCAAGTCATTTGGAATGGTGCCCTGCTACAAACTGATAGCTACAAAATTGTGTATAAGTAATATCCCTTACAAAAACAGCCATCCCATTGATATCAGCACTGACAGAAGCAGCTGTTGGTGATGTATTTGGCACTGTGTTGGTGCTTGTCTCACTTATATGGATCTCAGAGGTAGGGATTCCCAGAGTCTTGCTGGCAACCTACAAAGAGAACATTGGATTTATCGTTAAATGTTAGACAGGCCACAACCTAAAGAAACAGAACTTTATAAAAACTGTTTTTCTTTTCTTAAAAAAAAAAAAAGCAAGCCATTCTGGCTCCCATCAGATATCTAATATAAGTTATAACACAGCAAGGGAAATAAGGGGTGGGGGATCCAGATTTTAATAGGGTATTTACATGTCAAGATGTCTGCAGGATTTCAGAAACTGTTATTATAAATAGATGTCACTGAACAAATGAGGTATATATTAAAACAGCACAGGGCTTTTATATACATATTCCTAATTTACCTGAATCATCTTGGTGTGCAGACCTTGGCCCATCTCAGTCCCACCATGTGTGAGCAACACTGAACCATCCGTGTAAACATGTACCAATGCACCAGCCTATCACCAAAATTAGAGAAATGAATGGTTAAGATCTATTTATTATTATTATTATTTATTAATTTTTATTATTATTTATTTTTATTTATTTATTTATTTGTCAAGCATATAAAAGATAACAGGTAAAAGTATAAACATAATTTGAATATATGAAAAGAGTAAGAGTAAAAAGGAATATTAGGACAGGGACGGTAGGCAGGCTGGTGCACTTATGCATGCCCCTTATAGACCTCTTAGGAATGGGGTGAGGTCAACAGTAGATAGTTTAAAGTTAAAGTTTTGGGGGTTTGGGAAAGAAACCACAGAGTCAGGTAGTGCATTCCAGGCATTGACCACTCTGTTATTGAAGTCATATTTTCTGCAATCAAGTTTGGAGCGGTTCACTTTAAGTTTGTATCTACTGTGTGCTCGTGTATTGTTGTGATTGAAGCTGAAGTAGTCATTGACAGGTAGGACATTGTGGCAGATAAAACACTTAGGTCAGACCAAAGTCGGCGTGGTTCTAAGTTGTCTAAGACCAAAATTTGAAGTCTGGTGGCACAAGGTATTTTATTGTGGGTAGAGGAATGGAGGACTCTTCTCGTAAAATATCTCTGGACTCTTTCAATTGTATTTATGACTGATATGCAGTGCAGGTTCCAGACAGAAGAGCTGTATTTGAGAATTGGTCTAGCAAATGTTTTGTATGCTCTAGTTAGTAGTATAATATTACCAGAGAAGAATCTATGCAAGATTAGGTTAACAACTCTTAATGCCTTTTTGGCAATGTTGTTACAGTGGGATTTGGCACTTAGATCTTTAGAAATGAGCCTCTAGGATGCATTTTTAACTATAATCTTCCGTCTTTCATATTCTTTCATTAGGAATCGATCTAACTGATACCAAATTACTAATATTAGAAGCTCCATGGAATTTAATCATATGTAGCACATCCAATATTCAACTCTAGCTTCATCCAGACTATATAAACATATGTAGAAGAAGCATAGATACAAAAAGGTATAGAATCATATTTTACTTATAGTGCATCAGAGCTGAAACCTATGTGAAATTTAATCTATAGGTGAAGGCTTCCTCGTTGCACTCATGAATAACCAGTCACCTCATTATTGAACTCTGACTACAATGTATAGCGAGATGGGACTATATAAATATGGATGATCCCCCTGTTTTCAGAATTTATTAATGCAGCCGTGTAACTGAGTCTTCGGCCGCCCTTCGGAGAAAGGCGGCATATAAATTGAACTAAATAAATAAATAAACTGACAGAAGTTGTTTCATATTCAACTGAAGCTAAAGAAAATATTTTTTATACAAATCAAGATGCCATTAGTTTATGAATTATGACAAGGCAAAGTGAGCCGGTCCCTTTAGCTACTACTTATAGAAGCAGAAGGTTGGGCAGGGAACAGCAGCGTGGTATTGGCAAACAGAAATGTGAATATCATGCCTCTAGTCTGCTGCTGTCAGGTATGATGGAGCATGCTGTCCTTACATTAGTGCTGGTGTAGTGCCATCTGGGGCAGGTAGCAGTATCTTTTGCTTCAAACAGAAAACTAAACGTTTTGGTCCAGCACTTTGGAAAATGAGATCATAAAGATAGTTGCTGCCCTCAGCTGACATCCAGTCATTTTGAAGTTCAGATAGAATCTGTCCTAATATAACTGTATAAATTTGGTGCAATCTCTATAAAAAAAACTATTTCCAAAGTTTGCAACACATGAAGCATGGGAATTCTATTTTTATATGAAGAAGGCCACCAGCATCCCATAGGCTGTCTGAGTAAAAATATAGGATGTTTGCCAACCTGATTCAGAAAAGGAACGGTGAAGCTGATCCCAAACTTGGTAGGAATAATGGCTATGCCCCTTTTCTTCCAGCGATTCTGCCTGGGAAAACAGGAGAGTTTCAAAATGGCATGCCTTCCCAAATGCATTCTTCCTAAACAAGGCATTATTTTCCAAGGCTGTGTGCGAAACAAATCTAGCATCCAGTCAGTAAATTTTATAAATAAGAAATATGGTTACTGATGGCAGCCTTGTAGTACTGAATATAATGTTCAAAAGGATTTATCTAAACTTTATACCCGATAGAATACAAATCTAAATATATACATTCATACCGCATTTATACCACAGGGTTTTTTTCCCTCTTTTTTCCTTTGCATTTGACCTTGATACCACCATACTGGGTCTTATCATGGGAGGAGATGAATTAGCATATAGGGAAGAAGTCCAGAAGTTATCCACATGGTACTCAGTAAACAATTTGCACCTAAACACCAGCAAGAAAAAGGAGATGGTGCTAGACTTCCAGAAGCAGAGAGAGGAACCTGCCCCACTTTACATAAGGGGGGCTATGTGGAGACGGTCTTCTTTTTCAAATTCCTGGGAGTTCACCTTAGCCAAGATCTCACCTGGAAAAATAACACGCTCCAGGTGGTCAGGAAGGCTCAACAGAGACTCCACTTCCTTAGGGTCTTGCGGAAAAATCAGGTGGAACAACACAGGGCCGGGTGGCTCAGCAGACTAAAAGCATTGTGATTAACACCAGCTGTCTGCAATTACAGTAAGTTCGAATCTCACCAGACTCAAGGTTGACTCAGCCTTCCATCCTTTCTAAGGTAGGTAAAATGAGGACCCAGTTTGTGGGGGCAATAAGCTGACTTTGTATAAATATACAAAAGTATGAAGGCTATTGCGTAACTCATTGTAAGCCGCCCTGAGTCTCCGGAGAAGGGCGGCATATAAATCAAATTTAAAAAACAAAACAAAAAACTGATGACTTCCTTTTACCGGTCTACGATAGAAAGTGTCCTCACATATTGTGTGATGGTATGGTATACCGACTTGACAGCCGCAGACAGAAAGGCATTATAGAGTGAAATGAGCACAGCACAAAAAATCATGGGCTGCCCCCTGACCTCATTGGATGAAATCATTAGGACACGCTGCCTTAGCAGAGTGAGGAAAATCTTCAGGGATGATTCATATCCTGGTCAGCACTTCTTTACTCTCCTAAAAATCAGTCAGGAGATACAGAAGCATAGCCAGCCAAACGAATAGGCTGGAAAATTGCTTTTAATCCGTGGGCTGTCAGACTTCTGAATGCAACATAACACCATAATCAGGTTTAATATGATAAACTTGCAGGGCCAGCGCAACGTGCAACATGTTCATACCGGTGTAATATAGTATAATGTTATATACATATATGTATATGGGAATGTGTGTTAGTTATCACTTATTTGGGTTTAGGGATTTTCTTTTCTTTTATTTGAGTTTATTTTGAGTTATTGAGATGTATTCTGTGTTTCGGGGTGCTGCACCATCTCATTGTACACATGTTGTGCATTGACAATAAAGGTTTGGTTTGGTTTGACTTGATTTATTTTTCTTTTTATCTTTGAAATTTTGAAAGCTTTTGTCAGCATTTCATAGGGAACTGGAGTAATAAACCAATGCAGCATATCTCATTTGATCTATGATATTTTATTTTAAGCCCACAGTAGGTGTGATTCACTAATGATCAAACTCATAAAAGCTAGCTGCTTGAGGGAGAGAATAATTTGTACTGTATTTAGTTTCAAATACAGGACACAATTCAAGGAGATCCAGTACTAGTAATACAAGAAATTTTCTACGGTAGTTGTACATTGCTTTCTTAGTGCCAGTTTGTTGGCCTTCTGCATCCTCCCTCTCCAGTCATCAGCTACTGGTCATAAGAATCCATATGAATCCAGCTTTATCCTTCAAACAATAAAAATGATTGAAAAAGCTGTTTTCTCTATGAATCACATTAACAGCTACTGCAGTCTGTTTATAGCAGTAAATGAAAAGAGTGTCCTTGTGGTAAGATATACCAAGATTTTTTTTTTTTCTGAATGGCTCAATCCAATGCAATGTGATAATGCAGTATATTCTGCTCCTCCACATTTTTGTCCCAAATATATTTTTATCTTTTTTGAATATCATATTTTTCTGTCATGTGTGTGTGTGTGTGTGTGAATAAAATCTGGAAAAAATACCTTAACGTGCTGTGAAATGGATATTTGTGTTTATCTAGTTATATACATGCATGCATAAAACATAGAAATAGCCCAAATTGTCTTATTAATTAGACTTACAGTGATTGTGGCATTGTTTCAGAAACAGAGTAATAACATAAAACATACAGCACTGAAATTACAACTTTGACAGAGGTCCATACATTTTTCTGCCAAATCCATTCATTTCAATTAGTGGAGAATTTATTTCAGACAACTGGGTATAATGTTGCTACATGGCAACCTTCAGAATGAAAATAATCCATATGAGATAATTTCAACTTTCAGTAAAATCAGAAATTGTAAAAAATAAGATACTTACTGGTTGAACTTCTCAATGTTTGTTCTTCTGGCATGATACTTCGATTTTGCAAGGCACTCTTCCCAACATCTTTTCACGGTGAACCCCACAAGCTTTTGATCGAAATGAGTTAAATCTCCTTCATTATACAGATTGATTTTTCGTACCTTTTCAGAACAAAAGAGAAACGGACAGACTTCAGTTCTGAAATAACTGGGATCTTTTAAACAAACAAGCAGAGCTTTAGCAACATATTGAACTCTAATCTGAAATTAATCCTTGTCTTGAGCAAAACACGTTCATCTCCCCATCAATATTCAGTAGAATAAAGGAATGGGACACAATTGCCATGATGCCTACTAAGATTTTTACATCCAGCTAATGAAACAATCCAATTATTAGCATCAGTGATGAAATCAGGTTCAGCAGAACTACATGAAGAATGTATGCATTGAAAGGCAGGTGAAAATAATGCTAACCAAGTTATAACAGACAGGAGATAAGGAGATGGTGTCCACAGAATGCCTGAGATCTAGTCTCAGTTCAAGAACACTGCAAAGAGCTGGAGAGAAAACAAAGGTTTGGAATTCAAAAAGGGGAGAATCAAGGAGAGAGGTGGCACTAGCCTTTCACCAGACTGGCAATTTCCAAAAAGGAATGCTGGCAATATTGACAAGGGGGGAAGGATATCTAATTTGCTCCTTTTCCTTCAGGCCAAAAGAAAGTACCAACTCCAAGAAAGAAATTATGGCCCACTGCTTTCACATAAAAGGAACTGTGAAAGTTCTGATAAGTACAAGTGATTAGGAGAATATTATAATTTGCTTTCTGCAAAATATCTCGGTGAGCACATACCTCTTCTGCTGGCAGCCCACACTTCAAGGCTATCTCACTTATCCAGCACTCAGCAACCATCATTCCCTGGGGACCCCCAAATCCACGGAAGGCTGTGTTGGAGGCCAGATTCGTTTTACAGACAATACCGATACCTCTGATATTTGGGATGTTGTAGCAATTGTCCATGTGAAGCACAGCTCTGTCCATAACCTTGGGGAATCAATTTAAACAAATAAATAAATTATGTGAGGGGTAGGTTTGTTTGTTCATTTTGTTTGCTGTTATTCCTGCATCAATAGTTACAAACTGAATATTTTCTGCATACTGTACATAAAATGGCAGAAAATGTATGGTATTATGCATGCAAAAAAGAGCATCAAAGTTTAAATCAAACTTATTATTTCATCAGAACTTTATTGGTGAGCCTTTATTAATCTCAAGTACTCTCTTCACTTTTGAAACTCAAGCTCTTTTTGAGGTTTGCATCACAAGCAGCCTAACCTAGATTCCCAAAATCTATGTGGATTCCTGATATCACTGACTTCTGGAAGCCTAACATACCTGAATAATATTCAGCTTTTCTTGATAGGTTGCATCAGACCCAATTTAGAGATCAAGTCTTCTCAACATACGATTTTCTCATTAGTGTCATTTTGCCCTTGTCTGCATTATATAATTATCATTGTTGCTGTTCTTATCTAAGCTATCCTTGCTATTTCCCTATTTTCTACCAGAAAACTAGAATTCCATCGAATTGAAAAAGCTTATTCATTCCTACAATCCCTGAAGTTGGTTCAAATGAATCAGAGTAGACAGTGATTTCCACTTACCCCATGAGAAAGATCAATAGAATTTCCTCCATTGCTGTAATATGACACATCTAGGCTGGTAATCCTTCCATTTTTCTTAAAGCCAACCTGGGAAAAGCAGAAAATAACTATTTTGTAGAATTCAATTATTCCAGTTACAGATATTCTAATATTCATTTAACTTAGCCATTTGGTTTTGAAAGAGAGGTTTTCATGGAAGCTACTATTAGAGGACTATTTTTACACAAAAAAGACAATTTCTAGCTAACTGTCTAATGATTAAGGCACAAGGCTAGAGATTCGGATAACACGAGTTCTAGTTCTGCCTTAGGTGTGAAAGCCTCTCTCTCAGCCCAACCCGCCTCACAGAGTTATTGTGTAGTAAAAATGGGAGGAGCATACTAGATATGAATTTTTCTATAAAAATAAAAAAGGGGATAAAAATCAATCAATAAAATAAATAAATATATTTAGAATGATATATATTTATTCATTCTTCTTATATTATATTATTTGCTCCAGAATGTGGATTGAACAGTGCACAGTTTCACTCATCACAAGTATTTCGCTCATCGCAGGTGTAATCTTTTTAATACTCATATTAATGTTTATTTACCTTATACTGTGCCCAATATGGATGTCTTCCACCAGAAATCAACATATCTTCATCTCGATCAAGCATGCATCGTACTGGGCAACCAGTCCTGTAGAATTAGGCTGAGAGTGAACCTACTGCAAAGGTGTCACGGTAACAATTTATATCAGAAAATAACACAGGAGGCTCTTTTCTAAGTGGTTTCATTTTTGAATAAATCTTTTCTATTCTGACATTCCCTTAGCCACAGAGCACACATAGATCCTCCCAAAGCTACTACAAGTCCCACCCATATTTTCTAAAAGCAAGTTAAGTTTAAAAAAAACAACAGAGAAAGAGAGAGAGTTCTAAAGATGTATGAAATCATCATATAATTGAAAGGACCAGGAAGGGGGCGGGGAAATAAAGCCTTTGCCAGAGCTGGTATTGAAAAGGATGTTCTTTTATATTTATGAATCTAATTCTAAAAGGCACCGAACAGTATAATATAATATAAATCTACAAATCGGCAATGAAAGTAAGTCTCTCCAGCATGATGTTGAAGGTGGCAGCCATTTCCAAATTATAGTAGAATTTTGCATTTCTATGTGCAAACAGAGGAGAGCAATAACCCTGGAAAAGGACATGTAGTGGTTCTGGGCCACAAACAAATCTATTTTCTTGATTCTCCATATAAAACCAAAACTGTAACTTCACATTACTACCTCAGTAACCATGCTGAGGGGCCATTCATTAGAACTTACTTAGCAGCAGCTACTGCAACAACTGTAGACAAGATCATGCTTCTAGATTCTTTCCCTCCAAATCCTCCTCCCATTCTCTTCACGCGAACCAGAATTCGATTAGCAGGAACGCCTAAAGCGTTAGCAACAAATTCCTAAAATAATAATTTAAAATAATTCAACCATGTATTAGCCTACATTGAAATCGTTCTTTCTGTAAAGAGAAAGAGAGAAACTAAGCTAAATAATTCCATTCCTGGCATATAAGTAGCCTACACACATTCACAAACAGGGAGAATTATTGAATTCAGTGAGATTTATTATCAATAAGCATGCATTGATTTATGTTTCCTGAAGTCAGATTTTTCAGTTTAGTTTGCGTATGAGAAAGTACTTTATATGCATAGATGCAGATATATGCAAATACATATACAAGGTGGTCACATTCAGATTATAAAGTACCCAGGATTGGTTTCAGTGGCAGCAGTCAATCTTTGTTTGATAAAATAGAAATGTGAAGGACTATTCAAGACGTTTGTTTGTGTTTAGAATCTTTTTTTCTGTCTAATCTTTTTTTGGAATGTGTTAAATCATTTTCCTTTCAAGTAAAGACAAAATTGACTTCATACTACAGCAATTTACTAATTTACCGTATAATTCCATAAGTAAGTTTAGCAACTTATGAAAGTTCTATAGCTGAGTAAATGAGGAATATCAGGGAATACCAGAAACTCAAACTGAATTTCTTGGTTCTCGGATGCCATAGATCGTCTGTATGTCCTTAACAATGTGCTTTGCCTTGTGTATTGCTGAGCTAATCTGGCTTGACTGTTGTCATATTTCAAGAATGCGATTTCTGCAAATGTACAAAACCCACATTGGTTTTTTTAATATGTGAAGCATCATTCTTATTCCATACCAATGGTGGAAGGATGCCTTCTCTTAAAGTTTCAGCAAAGCAAAGCACCTCTTCAACATCATGCATAGCATTATGACATAAACTAAGAGCCTTGGTAGTACAGGGGTTTAAGGCACCCTGTTATTAAGCTTATTAAGACCAGCTGCCTGCAATTACCGCAGGGTTCGAATCTCGCCAAGGCTCAAGGTTGACTCAGCCTTCCATCCTTTCTAAGGTAGGTGAAATGAGGACCCAGTTTGTGGGGGCAATAAGCTGACTTTGTATAAATATACAAAAGGATGAAGGCTATTGCTGAGCACATTGTAAGCCGCCCTGAGTCTTCGGAGAAGGGTGGCATATAAATCAAATTAAAAAAAAAAAACTATTTGTACACAAACTGGGCAGAAATAACAGATTATTAAAACTGAAGAATAAAACAGGACTAACTAGACAGGGGAAGAAAAGCTTATGATGAACCAGACTAGCATGGACAGGAATGGAGAATGTAACAATTTCCTTCCTTATTGCACGCTAGAGGAAAATCTCTCCTCAACTCTTAATGAGCATCCCTATTCAAATAATAATAACAATAACAATAATAAATCATGTTATTCTTGGTGGCAAAACTGACTGCCTTCTCCAAAAGCTATCAAGATCAAAGCTATCAAGAGACTGGCTGACCTGTGTCTTTGCTAAGTTTTGGGTGGAGACAAAGAGTTCCATTTCTCCATCTTCTCCTTTTGGCACAGCAATTGTGCAGTGAGTCTCCAGATAAAAATGTTCCTGGCCACCAATGTGCATCTCCCCTAGGCAGGATGGAAAGAAAGGATTTCCAAATCAAATAATATATTAAATTCAAAATACTGGTAGTGCTTTCTGGGGTGATGTAAGAATTTATACAATAATGACTCCGATTCAAGCTCATGGAGTTCAGAGTCCAACCACTGATCTTCACTGCTTGAGTTCTTAGACTCCAATCGCTCGGAAGGAAAACCTGGGCCTCTCCTATGTCCATCAAGATTTAACAATCTTTATGCCCCTTATCAAATGGCAGTTTGCCTCCCATTTGTTCCTCTTAACAAAGGAAAAGAACATCTTTCTCCCTTGTCTTAATCCCTTTACCCCATTAGTTACTTCGGGTACAGACTCGAGGAAATATAGTTTGTTCAATATTTCATCCTCACCCTACCCAGATTCCACCACACTCAATCATGCTGTTAGTTACAAAAAAGGATTCTCGTGTGGTCTTAGCCCCTGAGCACTTGATATGTATCAAATAAACTTTCGATTTTTACTCCAATATGGACAGACAGTTTGGGGAAGCTGGAAAAAACCAATGACAAAACAAGAGGAGCTTGAAAAGTTTGTCCATTTCTTACCCCAAGATCAATGCAAATGTGTTATTCATCCAGTCAATGCTTTAAAAGAAATTTTTGTTATACAAATCAAAAAGAAACAAAAAGAAATGAGGAAGCTTACCTTCCACAATATGATCAGCCTCTTCAAATCCTTTCTGGATATTTCCTTTTTCAATCTTCCTATCAGTCTTAAAGAAAGATTCTTTCTCAATGGCTTCCTGTGCAAATTATAGGAGAATCAATTAAATACACATATATTTACGTGTACATGTGTGCTCACACATACATACATTCATACACACATAAAACAACCAGCTCTGTTTTGTGTAGCTTAGCCAAGTTAAACCAATGTTAATACTGTTAGGTAATCTGCATCATATTTTGAATGAAAGGTACAACTAAAGACAGAGTTTCTGCACCTTATGTAGAAAAAAAACCATTGGCAGATAGTACCTAGCATTATCTATTTCATTAAAATTCTCTATTCTCTACTATGCTCTAGCTTCAATAACTTTCTTTCCAGTTGTCCTGGGCTGAAAAACCTGAAATCTGAGGTCCTGATGTGGTCCTCAGAACAATTTCAGAAACAGTCTGTTCAGGGAGATGGATCGCAGTGAGTAGAAAGTAGAAAAGGAGGATATCAAATAGATAGAGATTAGGTATCACTAATTTCTTCACTTCCTTTATACAGCCAATGATAGCAATAGCACTTAGGCTTAATGCTTTACAGCGCTCTCTAAGCAGTTTACAGAGTCAGCATATTGCCTCAAACAATCTGGGTCCTCATTTTAGCAACCTCAAAGGATAGAAGGCTGAGTCAACCTTGAGCCAGTGAGGACTGAACCCCTGGTAGTCATCCGAATTATCCAGCAATACAGCATTATAACCACTGCGCCACCATGGCTCTTGATGATGATTACCCTTAAGTGAATACAACTCTAAATGGAAAAATATTTGCTCAGCCCTAATTACAAACTTCAAACATTTACACTATAAAAGTGTCAGATGTAAATGCCTTATTCTCCAATGTGTAAATAATGTATATATGGAACATCAGAGGTTAACTTATTCTTTGGACTTTAATGTATTCATAACTTACCACTCCCATTCCTAGCTCCACCCCTTGTATATATAAGGAGCCACCCTCACCATTCTCGTTGCTTCTACCTTGAATATTCAGTGAATATAGAATGCCTATCATAATTAAAAAGAAATATATTTAAAGCTCTAACTCCTATTATCTTTATTGAGTCTGATCCTGAAAATATTGCAACAAGCTGGTAGCATAGGATGGTTAATTGACTCAATAAGTAATTAAAAATGTCCAAGAAAGATAGGCCCAACACCAGGGCCTACAGCAAAGAAATAGAAACTGATCAAGAGATGATCAACGAATCCACCAATGCGATTTCGAGAGAATCCGAAGAATACACCACTGAAGAAGAAGAACTAATGAGTGAAAATAATGACCAGAAAGAAATCGAAATAGAAAATAACGAACTCAGGTCAGAGATATTAAAGATACTAAAAAGCCAAAAGAATGATGAAAGTCTCATCGCGGACCTCCAGGAGATGCTGAAGAACAGCGGAGCAGCGAGAGAGAAAAACGTCATTAAAGAAAAACCCAAAGATCAAAAAACCGTAAGTGAGATGACTACTGAGAAAATAGTTGTTAAAAAGAAAAGATGTGATCCCGCGCGAAATTTTGAATGGCAGCCATCTTGGTTTCAACGAACTTCAAAAGAGAATGAAGCAGAGCCAATCAAAACGCTCAGTTCAAAATTTCTGGCGCGAAAAACACTATCAGACGAAGAAAGTGAGAAAGAAGTCTCAAACTCTTCAGATGATCCAAAATCAGAAAGTGAAGACGATTTAACAAAATCTCAAGTAAAATCAGCAATGAAAACGCTTTTTGCTGCTTTTGGGCCAAGACTGAAAATTACCAAGACATCTACGAAGAAGCAAGAAATCAAACCGGCGACTCAAGACCTGCACGCTCCCATCCTGACTTCGAAAGCGACGACGCCCGAGCCCAGAGAGCCATGCCGATTTCGCCCTACACCACAGACAAAATTGAATACCAACGCACACAAAAAGAAGAAAAGAACCGTCACCACCACCAGAACCCCAAAAACCGAGCCAGAGACCGACTCATCTGAGGAGGAGCGGATCGAGAGAGCTGAAAGGGAGAGAACCTTCCACGACGCCACCAAAGAAGAAATGAGCAACGCGCATGTGCGAAACTACGTAGACGACCCAGAAGGACTTGAACTGGCCAGAGAACCGCGCAGACTCATTGCAAGCATCCCAATGCCGTTCTGTAATTTCCTGCACTTGAGAGATCACGGACTGCCCCAGGTTGTAAGTAATGGACAGAATAATGTAGGTAACTTACCCAGTGACTTCCCAAAACTTAGAATTGATGGCATTAATTTACAAGAGTGGTACCAACAGCTTCAGGTTATTTTCATGAAAGAAAATTTACTATTCTTTATAACTAGCCCTCCAAGAAGACCTTGGACTTTAAAAATAGATTGTTTACATCATAGAGCATTTTTCATAATAATATCTAGCGTGTCCCCTGCAATGTATCATAGCATCAAACCAAACCTAACTGTATCAGAAATAATTCAATGCATGTTTAATCTATTTCACAGCGATAGCGTAGCTACAACCACAAGAATGTCTAAGGATTTCTTTTCCTCTAGAGTAAAACCAGGGGTTTCTATAAGTGAGCATTTGATAAATCTAAACAAAATAAGAGCTGAGCTACAATTGAGGGGGGAAGTGATTTCAGATCAAACAATGAAAAGTGTTATTATCAATTCACTTGATCCATCATGGGATAGCTTTATGTCACACTTAGATACCATTAATTTGGGATATTTATCCATAGAAAGTCTATCTAACAAATTGATAGCAGAAGACAATTCAAGAAAAAATCGATCCAGTAACCAAACAGACCACAAACCTTTTAGGAAAGTAGTCTTTCAAGATAAACATAATGAGGCCTTTAGATGCTACAATTGTGGATCCAGGGAACATAGTAGAAGAGACTGCCCCAAAGTCTCAAGAGAGAGACATAGACCAGAATATAGGAGCAAATATAATTACAGACAATCTTCCACAGATAGACACAAATATAGAAGCCCACCAAATTACAAAGAAGGTAGAGGGGGTAGAGAAAATTCAAAAGAGAGGAAATCTGGGTCACTGAATGGGCTAAATAAACAAGACAGCACCAGAACACAGCAGGATGAGAATAACAATTGGCTTATTGATTCTGGTGCAACAAATCACACCACCAACAACAAAAGTATATTATCTTCATTTATAGAAGATAAGTTTGTGATAAAGGTAGCTAATCAAGAAAAGGTTCAAGTACTAGGCAAAGGAAATGTGACCTTGCCTGGTCTAGGGAAAATAGAGGGGGTATTATTAATCCCAGAAATACCTCACAACATACTAAGTGCCATAAAATTAAGCAGAGAATCTGATATCAATATAGTTTTCTCAAAGGGGAAAGCAACTATAGAAAAGAACAAAACAAATGTAGGTACTGTAATGATAAAAGGAGGTCTACCCTATCTGATAACTATAGAAAGATGTTTACATAACATTGATTCAAATATGGAAGATTGTATTGAAGCAGATGATGAAAATGTCAGTAACAGTGACAATGATGAGTGTAGAATAACTCATGATCACAAAAATACATACAAGGAAAAGAAACCAAAAATAGGTAAACCAATTCATGATGAGTGTGCTCACATCTTACACAGGAAGTTAGGACATGCAAGCTTTCCTGTAGTACAAAAAATGACTGAACACGCAGAAGGTGTCAAAATAAAAAATTGTGAAAATTATTTGGAATGCTCAGTATGTAAGTCCACCAAACTAAAAACCAGTCCCAGACCAAAAAAATCTAACAGATCAACTAACAATATTTTTGATTTGGTACACATGGACTTAGTTGGTCCATTAAGTCCCTCAATTACCTATAGAAAACGTTACTTCCTAACAATAGTGGATGACTACAGCCGATATGGTTTTGTTTACACATTAAAGCACAAGGATGAAACATTTCAGAAATTTAAGGAATTCTACAAACGTATAGAAACACAACATAACATCAGAATAAAGCAAATTATGACAGATAGGGGATGTGAGTTCATGTCTAAAGAATTCTCCCAATGGTTAAAGGATAGAGGAATGTTACATTTCACGTCCAATCCTTTTTCTGCATTTCAAAATGGAGTTGCAGAGAGGAAAAATTCCACACTACAAACCATGATTAGGTGCACATTAGAGGATGCTGGTTTAGGCAAACAATTTTGGTCAGAGGCATTACATTATTCGAATTACACTCAAAATAGAACCTGGTCCAGTATTGTGAATAAGACACCATATGAGGTGATGTACAATAGAAAACCCAAATTATCACACATGCACATATTTGGAGTCACTGCAGACGTACACATACCTAAACAATTGAGGAGAAAGGGAGAAAACGTATCCAGGAGATTAAGATTCATGGGATACGAAACTGGAACCAAAGGGTACAGATTTATTGATAGTAATAACAAATTTATAGTATCCAGAACAGCTGTGTTCCATGAACAGGCCAATTGGTCAAAATTGCACCTTAATGAAATATTTCCTAATAAATGTAAAGATACGATATCTTGCGAGGAAGGAACAACAGAAAATCAAAATATTAACAAAAGTAAGAACAAAACCAAAACTTGGACTAATAGTCAGCATAAAATAAAGACAGACACATTAACAAAAAAGGAAGCTAGATATTTGCATGATAACCATAGCAAGCCTGAAAGAACTATTAGAAACAATAGAAACCAAATACCAAATAAATACAAAGATTACATAATGCATATGAATGGAGAACAAATAACACCTAATACATATGAAGAAGTATTGAAACTTCCACATGAAGAAAGAGAAAAATGGGAACTAGCTATGGAAAAAGAGATGGAAAGTTTACAAGGATTAAATGTATTCACACCTGCGATCGCACCTAAGGATAAAACAATTATAGGTACCAGGTGGATTTATAAAATTAAGAACTTAGAAGGAGGCAATACCTTATACAAGGCTAGACTAGTTGCACAAGGCTATGCACAAAAATATCCAGAAGACTATACTGATACATATTCACCCACAGTGAGAACAGAGAGTGTCAAAACAGCCCTTGTAGTAGCATCTGCACTCAATCTGGACGTATTCCAATATGACATACAGACCGCATACTTACATGCAAAATTAGATAAGGAAATATATGTAAGAGCACCACACAGTCAATACACTAATAAGAACGAAATTTGGTTATTAAATAAGAGTCTGTACGGATTAAAGCAATCCGGCAAAAGATGGTACGATTGCTTGGTAAAAGTACTTAAGACCATGGATTTCAACGCCACCACTGCTGATAACTGTTTCTTTGTAAAAAAGAGTAATGATCATATTGAATTTGTATTAATTTACGTGGACGATATTTTATACATTGGAAAGCATAAAGAGAGCAGGGAAATCTTTGTAAATAAGTTAAATGAACACTTCTCACTGAAATCTCTGGGTAAAGTGAATAAATACCTTGGTGTGCAAATTAACAAAACTAAAAGGGGATTCAAACTTACACAGAAAGATAAAATCATCGAACTCCTAAACAAATGTAACTTAAATAATGCTAAAACCTGTGACACCCCTATGCAAACTGATTTCCTTAGAAACACTGATGAATCTTCCCCTGAGTTTAAAGACAACACATTTTACAGATCAGTTATAGGTTCACTCCTTTATATATCTAATTGGACTAGGCCAGATATTGCATTACCTCTCAATCTATTGTCAAGATATGTTAGTAAACCAACCTTGTATCATTGGGAAGCTGTCAAAAGAATTCTAAGATATCTGAAGGGTACATTAGATTTTTGTTTAATGTTGGAACCCAATAATGACAGAGAACCAAAAATTACTTGTTATGCTGATGCAGATTGGGCTGGTGATACATCATGCAGAAAGAGTACTTCTGGTTATGTTTTTCTATTGAATGATTGTCCAGTTTACTGGTACACTGGTAAACAAGAACTAGTAGCCACTTCTACTACAGAAGCGGAATATGTTTGTTTGTCCAAGGCTGCAAATAACCTTGTATGGTTCAATGATCTGATCACTGATGTTTGGAAGAAACCCACCTTACCATTTATTATGCATGAAGACAATAAAGCGGCCATTGAAATATCCAGATCCGATGCAATTGGACAAAGGTCCAGGCATATTGATATAAAGTTTAAGCATGTGAGACAACTGTCTCAAGACGGATTCATTAAAGCAATACATTGCGATACTTCTGAACAATTAGCTGACATATTAACAAAACCCTTACCTTCTAAACAACACAAATATTTAACTTCTAAATTATATGTATTATATTGTCCTGAATCAGAATGTAATTGGTGTTGTGTAACGAACCGGCATTTAGAGGGGGATTTGTCAGATGTAAATGCCTTATTCTCCAATGTGTAAATAATGTATATATGGAACATCAGAGGTTAACTTATTCTTTGGACTTTAATGTATTCATAACTTACCACTCCCATTCCTAGCTCCACCCCTTGTATATATAAGGAGCCACCCTCACCATTCTCGTTGCTTCTACCTTGAATATTCAGTGAATATAGAATGCCTATCATAATTAAAAAGAAATATATTTAAAGCTCTAACTCCTATTATCTTTATTGAGTCTGATCCTGAAAATATTGCAACAAAAAGTATAAGTAAGTGTCTGCATGATCATTTCTTAGTTAGAATAGAATAGAATTTTTTATTGGCCAAGTGTGATTGGACATACAAGGAATTTGTCTTGGTGCATATGCTCTCAGTGTACATAAAAGAAAAGTTGGGACTAATTTGCAAAAGAAAAAGGGCTTTTGCATGCACCAAGTCTGTTGCCCATTGCCCTGATTCATAAAACAATGATCATAACAAATAGGTGTAGAAACAAGTATAGACTATTTTCATGTATCCATCTCAGAACCACAGCAACAGAAACCAGAGAAATGACTCTCAAATCCATCTCTCTTAAAAAAAATAAAGAAAGAACTATGTTTACTCAGTCAGAACTCTGAAATCAAGGTGTATGTCACTTTCTTGCAGTGTCTCACCTGGATAGTTATAATTGGTGTAAGCTCTTCATATGTGATCTTCACTGCTTTAGCAGCTCTTCGGGAATGTTCCTGTGTATCTGCCAATACTGCACCAATAATGTGCCCAACACATGTCACCTATGGGGGTGGGGGGAGAGAGACTTTAGTTTATTCAGCAACTTTGGAAATTTTAGCTGATTTACTGTCAGTAATACTTTAATTTCAATATATTTATTTTTGAACCCCAACTTTACATAAAGAGGACAAACATTCTGAATGTAGACATACTGTTGGACAACAATAGTCTGGGCAGAAATGGATTTTCAAAATTTTCAATTATGTTTGTGAGCAGAGTAGTTGAACAAGCAATTTCTCCAATTTTCCATAGAGGAAGAAAACTCTTCCTATACTTTTGAAAGGTGTTTTTTCAAGAGGCAACTGGAATTTCTGTTTTTTTCTTTGAAGAAGTTTTGCTTCTCTTCTAAGAAGCTTCTTTATCTCTGACTGGATGGTGGGGAATGGAAGGATTTATACTCCATTGCATTCTTTTAGAGTCATCGAGGCTCCCAGACAACCATGATCTGGATGACTGAGAATCTCCATGGACATCTTCCTATACTTTTTCAGGGGCAAACCTCCCCTTTAGAAGTGGTGATGTCTCTAGTACTCTAATATAATATTTTTCCTTGGTATTTCATTGAACTGTGGGTAGTCAAAGACATCTGAGTACGGGAAAGGGAAAATTGTACAGTGAAACACAGGATATTCCCACACATACCTTGCCACCTTGCAACTAAATCAGAGCAAGAATATCACATTCTTCTGTTCTGGAAGAGTTTTAAAAGCAAATTCTTTCTCATGAAACCAACTGAGAAATGATAGAGAACAGACAATTGTATGTGATTATATTTGATCCCAGTGAATTCAGTGAGAACTATGTTCAGTTGGTATTGTTATAAGGTATTCCTCCCCATACAGATTAAGCTGCATTTGTTAGCAAATCTATGAGATGCCCTCTCCTATATACCGGTACCAACTTCTTAAAAGGCTCTCCTATATACCAGTACCAACTTCTTAAAAGGGCATTTTAAGGGGTTCATATGTATGAGGGAGGACATCTCATAATTTTGTATGTCATTCCACATGGTATACACATTTGACTATGTATCGGAACACATACAGATACAATTTTCATAGGGGATGGTGATACTTCTGTCAGTTGTCACCCTAACACATAACTCACCAGTTCAAACCAAAGTGCAGAGTATAAAATGTATAGAACACATCTGGGAATGAACCAAGGGGGAATGATAATTGAGCTATAATGCAAGTGACTTGATTGCTCCATTTTAGTGTCTTTGAGATTAATAGAACAATTTGTAGATGAGAAGCGATAGTTACATACAATGTCTTTTGCAAAGATGGTTTCATCATTACAAATCCCAGAAATGTCACTCCCTGGAACATCCTGATCAGAGACAAAGCACACAAAGCCGGGTACATTCTGAGCCTCAGAGGTATCAATGGAACTGAAAGAAAAGAGTAGCACAGTAGGATTATCCCCAGGAGATTTAGGTGTATGTCTACAAATACAATTTTTGACTGCATTAATTTCTAAAACAAAAAAAATCTAAAATCAATGTCTGCATTGAACAGCCCTCCTTTTGAGCATTGTGTCTGCTTCTGGGCAATATCCTTTGTTGAAAGAAGAAGAGATTCAAAGAAGGACAACCAAGAGATTTTTCTAGATTGGGAATCTAGAAATTAAATCCTATATACACGCATAGTTCTCAAAAATTCTCCAAGAAAAGGTGATCAGCATTGTAAAGCTCAACGGTGTTTACACACAGCTATAGATTACTACAGATTTTGTAGTATTCTATGTACCTTGATCGTTTGTACCTTCCAAACATGCTGTCAGCTGTAACAATTACACAACTTCCAGAGGCACAAAGAAGTTACAGTACATATTTACTGGATGACTGAAAGGAGGTGGACTATAGCCTTTCCTGGGGGCCTTTATAATGTAAGAGCCACCGAAGATCACATCCACCTCAAAATAATTGTGGCATGTACCATTTAATAAATAACGGTGTATGTCATGGAAACAGGACTTACGTAATTTTAGCATGGGCTTTGGTGCTGGTAACCAGTGTTAGGTAAAGTTCATTTGTGTAAGAAGGGATGTCATCACAGTAGACTGCCTCTCCGCTTGCCTGCTTGGCAGCTGACAAATGCATCAGGGGTCGTCCCACCGTATCATCAATGGATTGCTCATTAGGCACTTCCTATGATAAAAGCAAAGACAGGTGTACTTTCACTGCTGATTAAATCCTGGCATCAATACCCTACAAACATTGCCTCATTCAAAAAGTTAAAATTCTACTAGCAGCAATGAAGCAATTGGGGGGACAGCATTTAGCATTTCAAATACAAGACAATTCCTTCTACCTGAAAGGAAAAGGTCCTATTAGGACAGACATCTCCTGTAATTAATTAATTTAAAGACAACAACAGAGACCAAAAAACAGAATAAGGGCTAGTTCAAGGTAAGGTCTAATGCCCAGGCAAGTACAGTTCCTAGAACTGAGAAGAGAGACAATACAACAAATGGAAAACACAACTGGTTTTTGCTCTTACTTACTTGGAAAAACTGGACGTTGCTAACAGGATCCTTGTTAAATAATTCAGTGGCACTAGCATGTGTGCAAGGGACCAAATCACTCAAATTATTCTGCAAAAATATAGGAAAAATCTGATTTTAATTTTTAATTTCTCTTATGCAAAGGTAAATGTATTTTTAATACATCTCTTAATGTGCACAAGAACATTACAATCAAAATGTAAAAAGTTACCAATAGCCATATAGAACTTGCATACAGACAACTATATTAAACTCCTGAACCCTTATCCCATCAAGAAGACAGAAGAACTCACATTGCCATTTAATTTTATGCTTCGTTTCTGAAGCACTGTGAGGTAGAACTTAAAGAAAAAGCTGAGCACGAGAGTTCGACGGAAATCCACCATGCCACCAGGGGCCGAAGGGGAAAGATTCATCTCCTCAGCCAGCAAATGGCAAGCTTCCTGCAGGAGATCTTCTTTCCACTCTCTATTAAAAATGAACCATATGAACCATTAACACAAAATCATTTTATTTGTCCATTCAGTAAAAACATTAAGCCAGGGATTCCCATTCGGCTGCCTTGTAGTTACTGTATATTGGGAGTTCATCTTCCAGAATGACCCTTTTCTGGCCCCACAGCATGGGTGCCCATAGGATATGGTCAGAAATATAGGATATGATATAAATATAGGATATGGTCAGAAATATAAATATAGGATATGGTTAGAAATATAGGATATGGTCAGAAATATAGGATATGGTCAGAGATATTTCACGAGAAGAGTCCTCCACTCCTCTGCTCGCAACAAAATACCTTATGCCACCAGACTTGAAATTCTGGGCTTAGAAAACTTAGAACTATGCCACCTTCGGTATGACCTAAGTGTACCTCATAAAATTATCAGCTACAATGTCCTGTCAATTACTACTTCAGCTTCAACCACAACAATATACAAGCACACAATAGATACAAAGTTAAGGTAAACCGCACCAAACTCAATTGCAGAAAATATGACTTCAGTAACAGAGTGGTCAATGCCTGGAATGCATTACTTGACACTGTGGTTTCATCCCAAAACCCCCAAAATTTTAACCTAAGACTGTCTACTGTTGACCTCAACCCATTCCTAAGACGTCTGTAAGGGGCGTGCATAAGAGCACCAGCATGCCTACCATCCCTGTCCTAATGTTTCTTCTATTTGTATCTATTTTATGTATCCAATCCATGCTTATACTTATTACCAAGTACGTTCTTGACAAATAAAATAAATAAATATATGCCCCCCAGGTTCCTTAAAACTGAAATGATAACAACATCATAAACTTTGATCTCCCAATTAAGACTGTTACAAAATTCTGCTCCCGATATGTGAGTCTCTCTCATTTACCTCCCAATCAGCTCCTGACAGGTTTTTACAGCCATGACTGTTGTGGGAGCCATTCCCCCATAACTCAGCTTAATCTCTTCTAATCGATTGGTTCCCTCTCGAAATCGAACTCTCATTCCACAGGTCACAATGGCAATGTCATCCTCCCGTCTTGAAGCTTGCTTGAAGGCAGAGAAATATTCATCCTAAAAGAAGAAAAGGAAGTTCTATGGACTTTTTCACATTGATCTCAGTGGGAGAAGTGTGGAGTAAAGTCGGTCCATTGATAGCAATGGTACTAAAATACGAGCAGTAGCTTTTATGAAATAATTTCTAGATGAAGGACGAATGAGTTCTGGAAAAATATAACAGAATTCCAGACAAACTATGAAAGAATTTCTGTTGCTATGTTCTGAATAAAACTTAACATTGAGAAATTCACTTTCATCTCTGAGAATAGCAAGGCAGGATTATGCTTATAAATAAGTGTTAATTATTATGCTGGAACTAACATCTATTTGCTGCAAAGTGTTTCTGTATCATGTCTATGTCCAGTATCTTGGTTTGTTGGTATATTTGTTTGTTTCTTTACATAAGGGCAGCAGATATTGTTTTGGCGGGTGCTTTCTTGTTTTGAATCTCTAAGAATCTCAGTTAACATGCTAATAACCATGAAATAGAAGGTTATTTCTCTATTTCCTTCCAGTCAAGATGCATCAGTCCCCTTTGCAAACACTCATGATTCATTAATCTTTCTAGAAAATGTCAAGTTGAACACTCAAAACAGACCTAGCATGTTGCTTTACCACTGGTCCACTTATCACCGTATTCTTCATACTGTCAGTGGGTCTCCCTTAATGTGTTCTGACCCTAAGCTAAATGTGCACAACAGTGTTACAATTTCTCCAACAAATTTGATCCTAACCATCTGCACATTATTATTATTATTATTATTATTATTATTATTATTATTATTATTATTATTTATTAAATTTATATCCTGCCCTTCTCCCTGAAGGGACTCAGGGCGGTGAACAGCCGAGAATTAAAATAACATACAATATAAAAGTTAAAATAATTAAAAATAAATTAAATTAAACATCAATTCATTTCTGTTTTAAAATTTGGCCTAGCTAAATAAATAAAAGTTACAACTATCATGAATGCCAACTTCTGAAATTGGAAAGGATGGAAACAGCTTTTTGGCTTACAATTTGTATGGCTTTTATGCAATTCTCACAAGTTAGAGAAAACGATGCAGAGTTCTTAGGTGCTCATACCCAGATGCCCTTCTATAAATGACAGCACTACTTGCGCGGATGTAGAAAAACCTGCGGATTTTCACAGGGCAGCTTCAAAAGAGATAATTGAAAAAGATCCTGTAATTAGAACTTGGATGTCTTAATGCACAGCAGAGGGTGCTCTGGCTGCATGGTGCGCCACTGGTATCAAGCCGCATGCAGCTGGGCAAGAAGAAGGTAGCAAGAGCTACACAAATTTAATGTCTGTGCTGAATCTTGAAATTTCTCAGCTTCAATTCTGTAAGTTAGTTATTTAATTGATTACGGCAGAATCTCTTTTTTTAACAATTTTAGTTTTGTGGCTTATAATTATAGTATTTTTCTAATTATTGTTTAAGGTGTTATATAGGCCTCGTTCTATTGTTTTTTGTTTTTGTCATTGCTGTTAATGTTGCTCTGAAGTTGGAAGGGGATATTTAACAAAACTAAGTTAATAGTAGGAACATTTTGAAGGGGAAAAGCCACTTTACTGATGTAGAAACAGAAACTGTTGGAGAGAAAAAATTGTTAAAGATCCTTTTTTGTTTTTAAAAAATATTTAATAAAAATGTATTTTAAAAAATGAAAGAAACAGAACAGAATTTGTGCAGAATTGATCCAGATCGGAACAAGATTAACCTCCCCCTTTCCATTCTTCATTTCATGTATATCAGTCAAAAAAATGCTTTTCCTGTAACTCAGATGAGGCAAACATAATTGATGTCACAATTCAGATGGATTTTTTTTTCATGGATCTCCCACACTGCAAATCATGAGATTCTTAGAATTCCAAAGTCGAGAAAATCTCATCTTTCTTTCTAGTGTAATCTTAACCAATATAATAAGAACATAATGCAATTGCCCCAAAATGCAATTGTATCAAGACTGAAAATATGCTGTTACTATAACCACTAAACCCAGAAATAAGCTCAGAGAAGAAAGGAAAGAAGAAAAATAAGCACAGTCCTGAAAAATAACAAGGACGCCCTCAGTCCATTAAGTAATTAACCATTAATCATCATACTTGAGTCCATAAATATCTAGAATCCACAGATGTAGATGAGTCAATTCCTTCACATTACCCAGAAATAATTGAAACCAACCCACATCAAAGACTGGTCTAATATAATGTAAGTTAGAATTTGAACCACCATTCTTCTCGTGGAAAATCACAAAGTCATCCAGAAGGAATTAATGGCAAACTTTTTGTATGAGGGGTTCTTTCCTACCGCTTTCCCCCGCCGCAGGGAGACGGAACCGACCAAATGGTTCCGTCCCAGGCGCCTGATGGACCCCGAAAGGTTCCTGATGGAGCTTGGGCCGTTTCCTGAGACTCTGGCACACGACTCGACTGAAGAGCTGGTGGCCGCCTGGGAGAGTGCGGCCGCCGGAGCTTTGGACCGCGTCGTGCCTTTGCGGCCTCTGACCGAGGCCGATCTCAATTGGCTCCTTGGTTCTCTAAGGAGCTGAGAGAGATGAAGCGTTGGAAAAGACGCCTAGAGAGCATTTGGAGGACTAGTCAATCCGATTCCGACCGGACACAGGTAAGGTCTTATATCAAGACCTACCTAGTGGCGATAAAAGCGGCGAAATCTAACCATTTCTCCGCTCTTATCGCATCTGCAGAGAACCGCCCAGCCGCCCTGTTTAGGGTGACCCACTCCCTTCTTCGGGGGGGAGTGCGGGAAGATCCCTTGCAAGGCCGCGCTGAGGATTTTGTGCAATTCCTGCATGATAAAGTCGCTCGGATTCGGGATGGCTTCGACTCCGATTGGATGAGTCCAGGGGAGGAGACAGGGGCAGGCCTTGAGAATATTATCTGGGAGGAGTTTGATCCTGTGGCTCCCGAGGATGTGGACAGGGTTCTGGGTAGGATTAGTGCCGCCACATGTTTATTGGACCCATGTCCCTCCTGGTTGGTACTGGCCTCCCGGGAGGTTACACGAGGCTGGCTCCAGGGGATTATAACTGCTTCTCTGAGTGAGGGTGCCTTTCCCGCCGCCTTGAAAGAGGCGGTGGTGAGGCCCCTCCTCAAGAAGCCTTCCCTGGACCCGGCTGAATTAGCTAACTACCGTCCGATCTCCAACCTTCGTTTTGTGGCGAAGGTTGTTGAGAGTGTGGTGGCACAACAACTGCCCGGGCACCTGGATGAAGCTATCTATCTAGACCCGTGCCAGTCGGGCTTCAGGCAGGGGCACAGCACAGAAACGGCATTGGTCGCGTTGGTGGATGATCTCTGGAGGGCTCGGGACAAGGGTTGCTCCTCTGTCCTAGTCCTATTAGCGGCTTTTGATACCATCGACCATGGTATCATGCTGCGGCGGTTAAGAGGGTTAGGAATAGGGGGCACCGTTCTGCGGTGGTTCTCCTCCTTCCTCTCCGACCGCTCGCAGTTCGTGTTGGCAGGGGGGCAGAGGTCGACCTCGAGGCATCTCGCATGGGGAGTGCCACAAGGGTCGGTCCTCTCGCCCCTTCTGTTCAACATTTATGTGAAGCCACTGGGTGAGATCATCCGTGGTTTTGGGTGAAGTGTCATCTGTACGCTGATGATACTCAGCTGTACATTTCCACCCCAGACCACCCCAACGATGCCCTTGATGTGATGTCTCGCTGCCTGGAGGCCGTGCGGGTCTGGATGGGGAGGAACAGGCTCAGACTCAACCCGTCCAAGACCGAGTGGCTGTGGCTTCCGGCGTCCCCATATAGTCAGCAGGTGCCATCGCTGACTATTGGGGGTGAATCTTTGCCCCCCACAGAGAGGGCTCGCAATCTGGGTGTCCTCCTGGACGCACGGCTGTCTTTAGAAGAGCATATGACGGCCGTGGCCAGGGGGGCCTTTTATCAGGTTCGCCTGATCCGCCAGTTGCAGCCCTTTCTGGACCGGGACGCCTTGCGCACGGTCACTCATGCCCTTGTCACCTCCCGGCTGGACTATTGTAATGCTCTCTACATGGGGCTCCCCTTGAAGAGCACTCGGAGGCTCCAACTGGTCCAGAATGCGGCCGCGCAGGTGGTTATGGGCGCAACTCGTTGTGCCCGCGTGACACCCCTCCTGCGCGAGCTGCACTGGCTCCCAGTGGTCTTCCGGGTGCGATTCAAGGTGTTGGTTACCACCTTTAAAGCGCTCCATGGCATAGGACCCGGGTACCTTCGAGACCGTCTTCTGCCACCAATAGCCTCCCACCGACCAGTCCGCTCCCACAGAGAGGGTCTCCTCAGGGTGCCATCAGCCAAGTTATGTCGGCTGGCGACACCCAGGTGGAGGGCCTTCTCTGTGGGAGCCCCAGCCCTGTGGAATGAACTGCCCCCGGAAATACGTAAGATCTCCGACCTCCGGGTGTTTCGTTGCGCATTGAAGACCCTGTTGTTCCGCCAGGCCGGGCTATCAACTTAATAATTTTAAATTGGGGTATTTTAAATTTTTGGGGTTTTAAATCGGCCAAATCTATTTAATTATTTTAATTTTTAATTATTGTTGTGTCTTGTGTTTTTAAATTGGCTGTACACCGCCCTGAGTCCTTCGGGAGAAGGGCGGTATAGAAATAAAATTATTATTATTATTATTATTGATGTTCTCTCAGCTTGGTTGTTTTCTTGCAGACATTTCATTATCCAAACTAGGTGTTTATTTGTTTGTTTGTTTGTATGTTTAGTTATTTTCCTTGTTTCTCACCCTTGTTATTTTTTACAAAACTCAAAGTGGAAAACATATCCAACACACTTTCCTCCTCCTATTGCCCCTACAACAACAACCCTGTGATGAGGGTTGGACTGTGAGAGAGTGGCTGACCCAAGGTCACCCAGCTGACTTTCGTGGTTAAAGTGGGACTAGAACTCACAGTCTCCTAATTTCTAGCCTGGTAACTTAACCACTAGACGAAACTGGTTTCTCATGTAATGAATTGTTCACTTCTTGATTGTTAGTGTGATGTTTATTTTGGTGTTGATCTATGTACATCTGGGTGTTGATTGCTGGCGGGGAGGTGCTTTGGTTTTATTTTCCCTTTTGGGTTTGTTGATTGTCTCTTTTGCACAGTATGTAGATGTTGTTTGATAGCAAGCTAGAAACGTAAGTTAGCAAAAAAAAAACCAACCCACTCATACTAATCAAGCCAAACAACCTAATAGTAAACAGCCCAACCAAAAAAACCACCAAGACCATTCCTACTAACACTGACAGGGCAATCCACTAGAATATAAAATTAGAGCAAACCCCACTCTCTACTAAAGTGATGATTTATTGAGTTTGCATAATGAAACGTCTGCGTGAAAACAACCAAGCTCAGATATCACCAAGAAACCCTCATTTCAACCCTGAGCTACAAATATTCTTCTTTATTGAGACATTTTGTCTCTTCCATGACCAAACTAAATTTTCTACATTTTATCTAAGAAGAACTTTATGCTAGAATTAACTCCTTCTTGTTTGCTTAGGCCAGTGATGGCTAACCTTTTTGCTGTCGCGTGCCAAAACTGGGGGGAGCGTGGGGGGTGGGTCATGCACATGCATGCCCACATCCATAATTCAATGCCCCCCACACCCCACACCCCCACGCATGCGCATGTGACCCCGTCCACTCTCCCTCAACTTTTGGCATGTGATGGTACGGTGGGCCTGGTAGGCTCATTTTCTGCCCTCCCCAGGCTCCAGAGGCTTTCTAGGAGTCTGGGGAGGGTGAAAACGGCCTTCCCTCCCCCCCCGGGAGGCCAGAAATGGCCCATTTCCTGACTTCCGGTGGGACCGGAAGCCCGAAAATCAATTGGTTGGCACGCGCATGTGCACTGGAGCTGAGCTAGCGCAATTCTCATGTGCCCACAGATATGGCTCCACATGCCAACTGTGGCACATGTGCCATCGCGGGCTTAGGCAGTATACACACAAAGATAAATGCAGGATGGCTATGTTGGTCATGTGGTTTCCTTTTTGTAGCTCTCCCCAGCCATAGCAAAACATGCTAAGAAATTGTAGCTTCCTTTCCCACTCCCTGTCTTCTTAACTTTTATTTATTTTTTTCTTCTAGCATACTCATTCCTAAATTCAACATCTATGCAGGAAATATATTTAAAGATTTTATATTTTATCACCTTACTCTTAGTTAAAATTTTATACAAAATGAAATAAGTATAAATCAATGGGAGGGACCTTTTGGCTAAAAATTTCTATGAAAAGAGTACCTGATACTGTAGCTAGTTTGTACAACACAAGGAGAATTAATTTAGTCCACAATAACTGATTCTCTCTGTGAGGGAAAAATCTAACCCTTTTTGTATAGATTAAGCAGATCATCTTTTTGGTTTAAGGAGTCTGCATGCACAAATAAGTTTGCATCAGGGGTGAAATGCTCCCAGTTCGGACTGGATCGCCTGATCCAGTCGCGATGGCGGCGGGTGGTTCAGAGAACCGGTAGCAAAAATCCCTGCGCTCCCTCCCCCCTATGCCCAGCTGAGACATGCGATCATCAGAAGTTGTTTTTTTACTTTTAAAAGCATTTTTTCTACAACTTCTTCGGAAGAAAAAATGCTTTTAAAAGTAAAAAAAAAAAAGCCTCTGATGATCGCATGGCTCAGCTGGGATCGTCAGAGGCTTCTAAAAGCATTTTTTCTGCAACCTCTTAAGGTTGTAGAAAAAATGCTTTTAAAAGTTTAAAAAAAAAGTTGGCCACGCCCACCCCATCACATTACCCCACACACACACCAAGCCACGCCCACACAACCGGTAGTAATAAATTTTAGATTTCACCCCTGGTTTGCATGATTCATTACACCAATTCTCCGCGAGCTGCACTGGCTCCCTATTGGTCTCCGGTCACAATTCAAGGTGTTGGTTATTACCTTTAAAGCTCTACATGGATTAGGGCCAGGTTATCTTCGAGACCGCCTTCTGCCGCATAACTTCCAGAGATCGGTAAGATCCCACAGAATTGGTCTCCTCCAGGCCCCATCAACTAAACAATGCCAGCTGGCGGGCCCGCGGGGGAGGGCTTTCTCTGTGGCTGCCTCAGCTCTCTGGAACCAGTTACCTCCTGAGGTCTGGACCATCCCCACCCTATTAGGGGTGTGAAGCTGTGAAGACCTGGCTTTTCTGGCAGGCCTGGGGCTGTTGATCTTGCTCTTGTGATCTGGCAAGATCTGGCCATGAATAGCGTAAATGAGTTTTTAATGTTTTTAATTTTTAAATGTTTTTTATAATGATTTTTTAAAATGTATTGTGAGCCGCCCTGAGTCTTTGGAGAGGGGTGGCATATAAATTGAATTAATTAAATTAAATTAAATTAAATTAAATTAATTCAGTAAGTGATTTGTATGAATAGAACAAGATCAACATTTTACCCCTTAAAAGGACAATGAAGCCCAGTATAATTTAATAATTTATATAATTTTGTCTAGGATATTTTTTGATCTTATGAATTTACCTCTACTTTTATTTCAATTTTTAGGTGGTAGCAAAAAGAAAACTATATAGGAATAATGTAGTAGCTAAGTAGCTAAGCATGAGAAGCAGCAAAAGTTTTTGTATGGCACTAAGGTCATGCCCAAGATATAAATCTTTTTAAACTCAATGCTTTTTAAACTCTAATTTGTAAGATTTCAGGAACCATCGTTTACTTTTATTCACATATGGGCAGCCATAGGAACTAGATACTTTTCAGCAGAAGAGAGATGTGGGGGAGGGAGAGGGAGAGGGAGAGGGGGAGGGAGGGGGGGAGAGAGATGATTGCTGTATCCAAACTACTGGTACTTTCTATGTTTCAGAAGAATCATAACGTACTTAAAGTGGCTTTGAGCATTGCATCTGCATTATTGATTAATATGGCCATGTGAACTTACAGAACAACAGGTCGTTTACTCCAACCCCTTTCTCAAACAGAAGACTCAATACCATTCCAGACAAATGGTTGAATAAACTCTTCTTTAAAATCCCCAGTGATGGAGCACCCACAACTTCTATAGATAAGCCATTCCACCAATATTTTCACTGACTTGGTTGTCCCCCTTTACTTTGTGATAGCCCCTTAAATATTGAAGACTACTATCATGTCATGACTAGACATTTCCAGTTCTTGCAATCATTCTTCATATATTTTAGCCTCCAGTCCCTTAATCATCTTTGTTGCTCTTCTCTGCACTTTTTCTATGGTCTCCACATCTTTTTTTCTATTGTGGTGATCAAAACTGGATGCAATATTACAAACTGACCTCACCAGAGCAATATAAATCAGCACCGGCACCTCACATGATCTTGATACTATCCCTCTGTTGATGCAGTCCAGGGTTCCATTGGCTTTCTTTGGCAGCTGCAGCAGACTGCTGGCTAATATTGGTTGTCCACTCCTAGATCCCTTTCATATTACTGCTATTGAGCAAGGTACCACCTATTCTACACCTATGTATTTAGTTTTTCTTGCCTAAGTGCAAAACCTTATTTTTCTCACCAGTGTTCCAGTCTGTCAGGATTCTTCTACATCTTGAACCTATTTTCTAAAGTGTTACATATGCCTTATAAAACTACACGGCCTTTTTTTCTATGATAATAAATATTCAAATCACCTCACCTCCCTACTGAAGGGAATCTCAACTGAAAGCAGTATTTCTTGAGGCTTCAGTATAGTTTTTCTATACCCAGTAAAGAATTTTTCATCCATCCTTATTGTCCTGCTGCCCTCTGCAAGAAAACAAGATATAGCACACAGAGTAAGCAGGTGGGTTCTTGATTCAACTTGGCAACTATTTATTGTTGGGATGGTAGCTAGTCTTTTAATTCCACAAGGAAAGATTGTGACATACATTAGTATTACTATACTAATGAAATAATATGTCCTAGCTATCTGTTCCAGCCTGGTGCTCCCTAGACATCTACACCTTCATATATGTATTTTCAGGAGTAAGCTTCAAAAATTTTAGCAAGGTGGTCTCTGCCCAGTTGCGGGGTGGGCGTGGCCAGGGTGGGCGTGGCCTAGTCAGCCTCCTGGAACACAGTGGGAGGTGTTTTTGCACTCCCTGGGCTCCACAGGCTTTCCTCAAGCCTCCAGGAGGGCGAAAATGGCCTCCCTAGGCTCCAGAGGCCTGAACTTCCAGTAGGCCCATTTTTCATCCTTCCCAAGCATCTGCGCGTGCCCTGCACTTATCTGCATCCAAAACGGGCCATGTGGGGACTCCTGGGAGGGATGGGCTGGGTGGGGCCAGCCAGGAGTGGGGTTTGGGGGTTTTCTGAACTGCACAGAATCTTAGCTTGGATGTTTATCTGTGTCCTCAGGCTCACCTGAGTAGTGCAAATGGTTCCTATAGACTGCAATTTTTGGGAAATCCATTTGGAATGGATTTCCCAAAAATTGCAAAAAATAAAAAATAAATAGATAAACTTCCAAGTGCCTCAATGACTCTTTAAAAGGATGCAAATGAACAGCTGTCTGCAAGGAATATAAATCCTTCCATTCCCCACAATCTAGTCAGAGCTGAAGAAGCTTCTTGGATGAGAACCAAAACTTCTTCAAAGAAAAAACAAGAAAGTCCAGTTGCCTCCTAAAAAAGCACCTTTGGAACAACCATGACCTAGATGACTGAGAATCTCCATAGACTATTAAAACCAAACCAAAGTTAAATAATCCATGTTGAAACTATCTAAGCATGTGGGGTTATGGGGAGTAGTCAGCATTAGCTTTTAGAAAGCAAAAGAAAGAATAACCAAAGAAAGTACTCTTAACATTCTTTAGTGTGGCTCTTAAAAATAACAGGCCACACTACTTTCCCTGACTTGCCCCAGAAAATAAAATGAGGCATGGAAACTGTTCCATTCACACCCATAACAGAATTTGTATCGGCAGCAAGGGAAATTGAGAGACTGCTTACCATTTGACACCAAAGTCAGTTTGCTCCCACTTGCCATCAACACTGGATTTAGGTCAGATATTGGACTTGCAGTCATTATATTTCCACCAATAGCCTGAAAGAAAATGTAGCACAGACATATCTTAGAAATTAGGTCAACAGACATCGTTAAAATCACTCATCAAAGTAAGTGAGGAAAATCCTGAATATTTTAACTTTACACTATTAAAATTAAAATGGGATTTTCTTGTCCTCAAATAGAACAAGAATAGGTTAAGGAAGCAATATGGCTCAAGTTAATACTGTGCATGCTTTCACAATGTGCTAAATGTTTTTTTCATGAAATTAACAACTGGTGGATTTAAACGATTTACATTTTGATTCATTATTCTAAATTGTACTTGAGTGAGTGAATATAAAGACATTTAGATAAATTATTTAATTTCACTGTTTCTGTAAAACTTCTGGGCATTTAACATGTCCTAGCAAAGAAAATATATAGTCAAATCTGATTTGTCAGTTTAAAAACTATTATCATTTTCACTCTAAAATATATCTCTCTGGCCTGAAGGTTGGTATAAATTAAAAGATATGCTTCTCCTAAGCTGACATTTTCTCTGAAGATTTGTTCAAACTAAGCCATGCATAAGACGATTCATTGATCAGTTTGAATTTACCAAATAATGAGAAATCTTATTGCTTTGTAGGCTTGTTCTCTTTATGCATGGTACAGGAATTATTCTATTAGGAACGAAAATATCCGATTTCTAGTCTACATTTAGCCACAGAAATTCACAGGATGGCTTGGATCCAGCTATTAATTCTCAGACTTCTTGGCATAAAATTGGAAGAGGAAGTTGAAATATTTTTGTAACAAACCATGCTTACAGGATCATTTTCCACCCAACTCCCTGAGATCAGGGGTGGGTTCTAAAAATTTTTACTACCGGTTCTGTGGGTGTGGCTTATTTTGTGGGCATGGCTTGATGGTCATGTGACAATTTTTAGGATTTAGCAGAGGTACTGGTCTACCAGGCTTTTAACTGCTTGCAGAGCTGTACCGGTCTACCCATATTTTTGCAGGCACTGGTCTACTCATGTATTTTTGCAGGCACTGGTCTACCCATTTATTTTTGCAGGCACCGGTCTACTCATATTTTTGCAAGCATGGTCTAACCATTTATTTTTACAGGCACCGGTCTACTCATTTGTTTTTGGAGGCACCAGTCTACCATCAATTGCCTTTTACCACTGATCACCTGTAGGGCGGCCCTTTGAAGCCCCGCAGCAAGAGTTTAAACAGTTTTTCCTTATAGCCCATCAGCTGGGACTCAGGAAGCAGCAATAGATTGGGGATGGGGCCAAATAAAAGGTAACAATAATGTGGGGGATGGGGGGCAGAACCGGTTCGGTGATGTCATATCGTCACCGCTACCGGCTCGGTGGAACCGGCCGAACCAGGAGGAACCTCCACTGCCTGAGATCATGCATTGTGGGTCACCATGAACCTTGTGGGGGGAACTAGAAGGAACATTAGCATGTCTAGTAACTTATGCATATAGGTATTCTGGCTGTGAAAACTATCTAGGCCAGTATTTCTCAATCTTGCCAACCTCAACTCCACAACTTAAAGTTGTCAAGATTAAGAAACACTTACATTCAGAAGCAGATGAAATTGTGTAACCTTAAAATTAAAGTCAGTAGACTAGCCTAACCACCAGTATTATGGGGAAGTATTGTGTGAAGGATAATAAAATAAATTGGGATATAAAAATGCAAAGGGAGATACATTTTAAAGGAACTGTAAGATTCTCAGTCATCCAAGTAATGGTTGTACCAAAGGTACTTTTTCAGGAGAAAATTGGACTTTCTTCTTTTTTCTTTGAAGACGTTTTGCTTCTCATCCAAGAAGGATGAGAAGCAAAATGTCTTCAAAGAAAGAAGAAGAAAGTCCAGTTTTCTTCTGAAAAAGCACCTTTGGGATTTTAAAGGAACAGTACATCCTACCTGCCTTTCTTGTCTCCTTCCTTTATCAGAAACTATTTGGAAGCACTTACTGCAACATTGCGGATCTGAGGTCCTGCAAACCATCTCAGTTGTTCTAGGACAGCTTGGAAGACCTCTACTTGGTGAGAAGGAAAATGGGCCACTGCCTTCCTGAGTTCCTCTTCCACACAGCTCAGGCTGCAGGAGGCACCAAATCTGATTCCTGTAAAACCAGAAACAAGAGTGATTTGACCAAATGAACCTTCACCAAGATAAAGGTATTACTCTCAGGAGCTGAACTGAAGAATTTTTATTTATTTATTTATTAAATTTATATAATAAATTTTTATTTATTTATTTATTAGTCATATTTCTATGCCGCCCACTCTCCGAGGACTCTGGGTGGCTTACACCAAAGGCAGTATACTAAATAGCATATTGCCCCCTAACAATCTGGGTCCTCATTTTACCCACCCCGGAAGGATGGAAGGATGAGTCAACCTTGAGCCAGTGAGATTTGATCGCTGATCTGCTGAACTAGCAGTCAGCTGAAATAGCTGCAGTACTGCACTCTAACCACTGTGCCACTTCAGCTCTTAGATCTTTACTCTCTCCCTTAAAATAAACTATGGTTTATTTTTAAAAATCAAGAAAGGTTTTATTTCCTGTATATCTTAGAAGGATGTATACTTGACTTAGCAAGGAAGGAGTCTGAGAGTCATGGTAGATGGGGCTATATCACATATGTGGGGACAGCTGGTTTTTGGGTAGAGTTTGGGAAATTCTTTTAAAACTGCAACATGTTTATTTTCCAATGTACATTACAGATTTGATGTATTTCTCCCCTGAAAACAGGAAAAATTGGAGCACTGGTTTTCAGCAATTATAGTAGCAAACCTGGAAGCAACTCTGAAAAGCGGGGGAGTAGAGATTACAGGTTGACCCCTTTCAGGAGAAGTTAGAGGTTTAAAATTACTGCTGTTTAAAAGGTTGCAAGCGTTCTCAGCATGCTAAGATGTTCATTTTCCAGCAGTTACCAGTTTTTAGATGATACATACCAATTCTACCATTACAAGAAAGTGAGTAAACCTGTGGTTATGCAGCAAATCATCCTTTTTAAAAAGTTTTATTACATTTGTAATAAGTGAGTATATATGTTTTATTAGTGCAATGGAAATATATGCTCCCTTTTGTAAAGAAATCATTTGGAGTATGATATGTGCACATGTATGTAAGTCTTCAATCTGCTCTTGGATAGCTTGTCCCAAACAGGCACACTGTAATTTGTATTAGAATTGTAGCTCCTGGAATTCCCTGCCAATCTGATTGGAAAATATTGCTCTAAGGCAGTTTTCTCAACCTTGGTAGCTTGAAGATGGGTGGACTTCAACTCCCAGAATCCCCCAGCCAGCACTGCTGGCTGGGGGATTCTGGGAGTTGAAGTCCACCCATCTTCAAGCTACCAAGGTTGAGAAACACTGCTCTAAGGCATCTGGCTTGCCTCAATGTGGTCTTGGGTTCTACTTGCTGTATCTGATTTGGCCATATGCTGTACTTGCAATTTTCCCAGAAGGTCCTTGATAGAGTGCCATTCCCTGCCCATCCAGGCTTCTGTTGCTTGTTGAATAGTACAATAGTACAATTCTTAGTACCTCCTTGGCATTTTTCGATAGTTTACTCCACCAGCCAATCTTACTTTTTCAGAAGACAAACATGTTCAGAAATTGTGGCTGGCAGAAGTGTCAAGGGAGCTCTGGATTTGGTTAGAACCTTCCCCAGGAGTGCAATCAGATTACCAGGAACAGAGAGGGGCTATAAGTGCAAGGGGAGAAAAGCTCCCACCCAACTTTTTTTTTTTATCATGGTTTGTAAACATTTCCTTGTGCATTTCAAGTACCTCTTGCCAATCCCTTAAGGCAACAGGCAGACTACTTACCCTCTTCTGTGTGCTGAACAGAGTTCATTTCTGGGATCCAAGTTGGGGCTATAATCACAGGGTACAGCATGTTCTTTAATCTCATTTCAATACCTGAAGAAAACAAAATCCAGTGAGTCAGTGCAGATGTGGCAGCCCACTAGAAATAGTAAAACTGAAATAATAACAAAATTTATCTGGAATGGGAAAAGGGCCAGAATCAAAATAAAGTGTATGCAAGATATTCAGGAAAAAGGAGGTTTAGGCCTACCGGACTGGGAGTTATATTATAAAGGAGCATCGCTAAACTGGATAAGGGACTGGATAGACCTTAAGAATAAAAGAATGCTATCATTAGAGGGCTTTGAATTACAACGCGGATGGCACGCCTTTTTGTGGGAGGGAAAGGACAAGCACCACGGATATTTTCCAGCAACATATTATCAGAGAATCATTGTACAAATCATGGCAAGAGATTAGAAAACATTATACCAAGATTCCACGATGGCTATCAACAATGGAAGCACTAATATACCCAATGCCATGGATATAGAGAAAATGAGGACTTATAAAGAACTACTGAACAGTGAAGGAGAATTACAAACAAGACAAGAATTACAAAATCAGGGTATAGACATTGATTGGTGGCCATACATGCAAATAGAATCAAGATACAAAACTGATCGGGCACAATTCGGATTCCAAAATGAACAAATGAATTGGATAAAATATTACAAAGTACAGATGAGAAAATGATTACCAAAATTTATAAGTACCTACTAAAATACAAATTAGAAGAGGAGGTTGTCAAAGAGAATATGATAATATGGGCCAAAAATATAGGATATACTATTGAATTGGATAAGTGGGAGAATTTGTGGAAGATAAATTATAAGATGACACTGTCTATACCCTATAAGGAAAACCTTTACAAAATGTTCTACCGATGGCACCTCCCACCGGCGCGCCTAGCCAAGATGTTCCCAAATACATCTCCGATGTGCTGGAATGCTGGCTGGGGGATTCTGGGAGTTGAAGTCCACCCATCTTCAAGCTACCAAGGTTGAGAAACACTGCTCTAAGGCATCTGGCTTGCCTCAATGTGGTCTTGGGTTCTACTTGCTGTACCTGATTTGGCCATATGCTGTACTTGCAATTTTCCCAGAAGGTCCTTGATAGAGTGCCATTCCCTGCCCATCCAGGCTTCTGTTGCTTGTTGAATAGTACAATTCTTAGTACCTCCTTGGCATTTTTCGATAGTTTACTCCACCAGCCAATCTTACTTTTTCAGAAGACAAACATGTTCAGAAATTGTGGCTGGCAGAAGTGTCAAGGGAGCTCTGGATTTGGTTAGAACCTTCCCCAGGAGTGCAATCAGAATACCAGGAACAGAGAGGGGCTATAAGTGCAAGGGGAGAAAAGCTCCCACCCAACTTTTTTTTTTTTTATCATGGTTTGTAAACATTTCCTTGTGCATTTCAAGTACCTCTTGCCAATCCCTTAAGGCAACAGGCAGACTACTTACCCTCTTCTGTGTGCTGAACAGAGTTCATTTCTGGGATCCAAGTTGGGGCTATAATCACAGGGTACAGCATGTTCTTTAATCTCATTTCAATACCTGAAGAAAACAAAATCCAGTGAGTCAGTGCAGACGTGGCAGCCCACTAGAAATAGTAAAACTGACAATGAAGCAACAAAGCTCTTATATAAAAGACTCCCAGAACAGTAGATGTCATCTCAGTGGTGATAATACTCCCTTCCTAAAGCAATCTCCAGGGCCATTCCTGTATGCCTAAAAGGGAAGACATTTGCACTGACTTGTAATGGATGTGTAAAGCCAAGAATTTTCCCTTCTGCTTCACACATTCCCAAATATTGTATTTCCAAGGGAATAGGGAGAAAATTGTTAACGGGTCCCAAAAAATGCTTGAAAACTTATTTTGAATGTATATATTGTTTTGAGGCATTCATACAGAGAAAAAAAATGATTCAGCTATGGGATCAGACAAGGATCCCATGAACATAAGAAGCCTGCTGGATTATGAGAGGGCATTTAGTGTCCTTACACCCAGTATTCAATATCAAATTTCCCCTAAATTAGACGTAAAGCATAGCGATCATACTACAGTCGTATTCACTAAATAAACTGCATGTTAGCTGGGTTCGTACAACTTGTCGGTTCCTATTACTAACCACATTATGACCTAATATACATGTTAACCCAAGTTGTGGGGGGCAGGGACACTAGTATTAATTCATTATAAAAGTTATTAATTATCTTTAAAACAGAATTTCTATTTTAAATGTGTATAAAATTGCAGCCTTAATTATTAATGGTGATGCAAGGGACTTTATTTGATATTATGAAGGAAGAAGTGAAATCTTGACTGGTCAGTCAATTATATACTGCTATGTTTATTTTTGTGTGCATTTGTTCAACAGGAAACAGAGTTGGTCGTCTTACCCACTTCTGTGTTCCCTACTACAAGCTTGGCATCGGGGTGCTGAGCTTTCAGAGAAACAAGTTCCTTGAGAGTTGATGGTTGCAACCACATCACTCGCTCGCCTTTGAAACACAGTTGCTCAACAGGCTTTTTCTGTATCTAAAGAGAAAATGGCAGATTTAGCTTCATGTATGGCATCACCAAGCAAGCAATCTCAATTTGGTACGAGGGAGAAGAGAAGGTTGCATTATAGCTGCAGCTACTATTTCCAGTGAGTGACAGGCTTCAGGATTCTTTGCAACAAGAAGTAGCACAGGAGTCCTTCTATGAAGTTAATAAATCCTCTCTCATTATCCAGTTGGGTATTTGTAAGTGGGAGGGGCAAGAGGTCTCAAAGATCTATCTGCAACAAAGCTTGAGGCAATGTAGCTTGAGAAATATTAGCTTTTGTTTGTCAAAGTCCTTTGCCCCTGGTGTCTGGCAAGGCTGCACCAAAGCCCTGTTAATTGCAGGCTAATAAGGCAGAAGTGATTAGCTAGAATTTAAGGAAATTGGTTCCAGTGGATTACTCTTTATGGTGGCATAGTGGTTAGAATGCAGTACTGCAGGCTAACTCTGGCCACAGCCTGGAGCTCAATCCTGACGAGGCTCGAGGTTGACCTTCTAACCTTCAAAGGTCAGTAAAATGGGAACCCTGATTGTTGGGGGCAATATGCTGACATTGTAAATAACTTAGAGAATGTTGTAATATATATATAATATTACACTTATATATCACTATGGGGTGGTATATAAGTCTAAATGCTTTTGCTATTACTAAAGCAAATAATTTCATAAGGGTTTGGGTTAAAGTTAGACAAAGAAATAAATATACCATCTACATTTAATAATTAATTTCAAATTATATATAAGTAAAATAACGATAGAGCATTGCAAGTTAATAATATGAAACCTTTTCATTAGTAAAACAAAATTAAAACCATGTTTTGTTTTATTTTGATGGGAAAGATTAGCTTAGCTTTGTGTGGTTCCCAAAATCTGAACTTTATTTTTTAGACAACTAGTAGAAAATTCTGATTTTGGAACCAACTTATCTAGACAGGACAGCAGTAAATTCTGGTAGCAATCTGACATTCAGTGTGCAAACCATTAGGTCTGGGTGGACAAAACAAGAAGAACGTCTGATAGTGATTTTGTTGCGGTCTGGACATGCTCGAAAATATATGTGGCCATCCTCAGTTTTGCTTTACATCATCCAGGAGTAACAACCCACAGTTTTGGCAGTTCTGCCATTGAATAAAACCCTAAAATCACTGTAACACAATTTGCCCAACCTATTTTTGTAACCACAGAAACCTGCCACTTCATGTTCTATGCTCTCCATTTCAAGGAATCTCATAAAATAATACCATTGTTATATTGGTTTTAAATCCACCTGTTCTCTAATATAAGATTTAATTTGAAGTTTCATAGAATGTGAAGGGGGAGAGCTTTCTCTGTGGGAGCACCTGCCCTCTGGAACGAGCTCCCCCTGGAGATACGGACAATTCCGGATTTACATATTTTCCGCCAGGCCCTCAAGACTTTTTTATTTCAACAAGCCGGGCTGGCCTAACTTCTCTAATTGTTTAATTTTAATTTTAATTTTAAATGGGGTATTTTAATTGATGGGCCAAATTGTTTAATATATTTTAAATTGCTTTTAAATTTTTGTATTCTATGTTTTTTACCGTTGACTGTTCACCGCCCTGAGTCCTTCGGGAGAAGGGCGGTATATAAATTTAAATATAAATAAATAAATAAATAATGTGGGTTTGAAATCAATTCTTGTCCAGATACAGTTCTCTCATCTTCATATATGGACATTTATTTTATTTAAGGCAGCAGACTCCTATTTATTTGTTTGTATACTTACTTATTTAGTTATTTCTGTGTTGCCACAATTAAAATTATTTTTGATGAATCATATAGGAAAAGAATACAGCATAAAACAAGTTCCATAAAAAAATAAAAACAAAAGAATCCTGCAAGAATGCAAAGAAAATAAAAACATGGCAACATGAAATCAAATCATGGGAAGACTCTCTGAAATAGCTCATTCTTTAAGAGCTTTCAAAGACCAGCAAAGAAGGAGCCTTTATGGGCATAGATATATATTTTCTTGTTGCTGCCTTATTCTAGGATTTTTTTGTTATTATTATTTTCACCTCCCAATATAATCAAGAATTATATTCCCTGAAAGGTCTCCTGAATACAGCTTCCTTAACTAAGCAAGATCAGGATGCTAAATGCCTGAATACAAAATTCCTGAATTGTGGAACAAATTGCTCGACTAAGGTGAATAGATAGCTTTGTTGCTAAAAGGAGACAAATATCCATCATCAGATGTTTCCTGATCAGACATAATTCAACCTCTGTCCAGAGCCATTATCCTGGACTGATGTTCTCTGATACAACAAGCTATATGAACAAAAGAATTACAGATCTTTTTCAGCAGCCAACTGTTGCTTAATGCCTTGGGTCATTTGCACTGCTTCTGTATAAAACTGTTGCACTAACAGTTTGCACTAACAAACTGTTAGTGATAACATTTCCCATCATATCTGAGAGTATTTACTTTAAGATTAAAGAGTGCTGAATCAAGGACTCCCAACTTGCATATAGTTGTTGACCCATTTTCTTCTTTTTTACACAACCAACCAACCTTTTTTCTTCTTCCTTCTCTGTCACCAACTCTATATAGTTCCTAATTCACCACTAAAATGTATCAAGGGGGGGGGGGAAGCTGATGACATAATCTTCAAGTTAGCTCCAGACAATGTATCTAAGTTTACTCTTCCTTGTGGTGTGACCGGAACAACCTGGAACTGAACACACTCAAAATCATAGAAATGGTGGTAGAAGAAAAAACCCTTAGGAGAAACCCTTCCATACTTCCATCTCTCACAATATTAGACAACACAGTATCAACAGTAGAGACCTTCAAATTTCTAGGTTCTACCATATCACAAGATCTAAAATGGACAGCTAATATCAAAAACGTTATCAAAAAAGCACAAGAAAGAATGTTCTTTCTGTGCCAACTCAGAAATCTCAAACTGCCCAAGGAGCTGCTGATCCAGTTCTACAGAGGAATTATTGAGTCTGTCATCTGCACCTCTATAACTGTCTGGTTTGGCTCTGCAACCCAACAAGACAGACACAGACTTCAGAGGATAATTAGAACGGCAGAAAAAACAGTTGCTACCAACCTGCCTACCATTGAGGACCTGTATACTGCACGAGTCAAAAAGAGGGCTGTGAAAATATTTACAGACCCTTCGCATCCTGGACATACACTGTTTCAACTCCTACCCTCAAAATGACGCTATAGAGCACTGCACACCAGAACAACTAGACACAAGAACAGTTTTTTCCCGAATGCCATCACTCTGCTAAACAAATAATTCCCTCAACACTGTCAAACTATTTACTAAGTCTGCACTACTATTAACCTTCTCATCGTTCCCATTATCCATCTCCTTCCACTTATGTCTGTATGACTGTAATTTTGTTGCTTGGATCCTTATGATTTATATTGATATTGTTTCCTGATTGCTTATTTGTTCCCTATGACTATCATTAAGTGTTGTACCTTATGATTCTTAACAAATGTATCTTTTCTTTTTATGTACACTGAGAGCATATGCATCAAGACAAATTCCTTGTGTGTCCAATCACACTTGGCCAATAAAAAATTATATTCTATTCTATTAAAGTGGTGCCCTCCAAATATGTTGACAGAGTCCTAGTTTATGGCTGCAAATCAAGAAGAACACCAAAAACTTCCATAAGGAAATTTAGTTAGCTTGGCAAGGAAAAGAAAACTCACCAATAACTCAGGTGGGAATATAGGCTCTTGGGTAGGGTCTAAAGGCTGGAACTCAGACGTATTGAACAGAGTTGTGGTAATCAGTTTCTGCAGAAGAAAACAATGTATATGTATATATATATATATATATTAGACAACCCCAAGATCCAGTGGATCATTGTTTCAGAGATATTTCCTTACCTAAACAGAGAAACAGTATGATCAAGGGCAAAAAAGCAGTGGGAAGTGACTTCTGACTTCCTGCCATCTTAACATAGCTGACTGCCCTTCAGCAGTCAATGGTGGCACAGTCTACTGGTTTCCAGAGAACTAAGATTAGACTGCTCTACCTGATCTCCAATGGCTGCAAAGAGGAGTTGAGCTACCTAGCCTCCAGAAGTCTTAGCTGAGACTAGTCTACCAAATTTGTACTGCAGTGCAGTACAAATTTGTGACAACAAGTTTGCCAGATTTCAATTCCACTGGCATCATGGGTCCCAGATTTTGGACACATTCAGTAAATTAGGTCATTTAAGGTACCTTGGTTCAAAATTTGTTGCCCTATGATGCATTGTTTCACCTAATTAAAGGTTACAGACACAAGAGAGAGAAGGAGAGAAAGAGGGTAGCAAACTAGAATTAAGGAGAAATTTCTTAATGGTGAGTACAATCAATCTGTGGAATGCCTTGCCTTCTGAAGTTGTGAGCGCTCCATCACTGGACGTTTTTAAGAAGAGGCGGGATAGCCACTATCTGAAATGGTATAAGGTCTCCTGCTGCAGCAGGCGATTGGACTAGAAGAACTCCAAGCTCCCTTCCAACACTGTTATTCTATGTTCTAAAGTGTTTTAGTAGTATAAAATTAAACAATGTAGTATATACCGGTATGTCTTTTTTTCTTTTTTGGTTTTGTACTATTGTAGTATTAAAGACTATTTTCATGTTTTTTTTATTTCTGAATTTGTAAAAAAATTTAGGAACAGTAAGAACCTTCAAGAAGTAACAATATTTGTTCAGATACTACATGACCAAGTAATTCTTAAGTCAGTTTCCTACTATCCAATAGTTCCTAATTTGTTAGCTACAACTTTCAAAATTCCCAAGCAAACAAATTAGTAATTATACTGCGGTACTTAAGAAATCTGGGAGTTGTAACCCTAATTTCTCCAACTGTTTATTTCTACATAAGAAATTACCAAGAGTAAATATCTATATCCAAAGGTTTCATAATCTTACCGAATTGCCTTTTTTTTCATTCATGCAACAGTCCAGGCCATTAACTTGTTTATTATTGCACCCCTGAACCTTTTAAAAAAATATAAGACATAATAAAAATAGCAAATTAGCAGACATATTAAAAAGGGAAATCAGAAAATTAATAATTCTTCTTTTTAATTTTCCTTTTTTTTAGTATTTTATTCTATGTTAAATTTTCTTTGTTTATTTATTTTTTCCTTGCATTCTTGCTCTTTCATACACACACACACATATATATACAGCAAGTACAATACAACAGAGATTTTAATATTAAATAATTAATCTTAGGAGTGAAATCTGCTACCAATTGATGCAAGTTGGAGGACGCTTTTTCATTTTTTCTTTTCTACTACTTAGTACTCTTTTCAATACTTAACTTGGAATGAAAAAGCCAAATAAAGTAATGCTTGGCACACTGATATCCTAAATTATTGCTAACATTGATAGGATATTTTTTTCTTTATTTCCAATTTTCTAAGTAATACAAATAACAGAATGTCTAGAAATTGTAATTATATAATTTGCAATTATGTCATACGCACACACACACAGAATTTTTGTTGAAATAATTTTTTTTAATTTCTTTCAGAATGGAAGACAATTTCATGAACTTTCTCACGGGTAAAATGTTCTTGCATGAAAGATGAGATACCCAAAAGCTGAGTGTGAATATATTCTGCTTCTTTTATTTTACAATAATCCCTTCAATGATCTGCAGTCCTCTGACTTCACACATTGCATTAAATCCAAAGGAAGATCTCACTGGGTCTTCCCACTGGGGTTTTCCAGTTAAGCAATCCCACTGTCACCAATAAGGGGAAGTCTTATTGGAGGTAATTATAAATCACACTAAGTATGCAGTTCTATACATGTTCACTCAGTAGTAAATTTTATGATATAAAGCAGGGGTTGGCAACCTTAAACACTCAAAGAGCCACAAAGGCCCTAACCGGAAGCCCCCCATTCAATTCTGGAGCTGACTGGAAGTCTAGTTCCCCCACCATAGAGTCTCCTCCTAGTTCAGTGTCCTTTTTCCTCTACCTCTCTTAACCAAAAGGCCTATCAATTGTGGAGCCGACCAGCAACAGGGAGCCGTAGCAGAGGGATGAAAGAGCCATATGTGGCTCCAGAGCCGCGGGTTGCCAACCCTTGGTATAGGCTTATACTAAAATTAAAAGATAAGGGTTTCTCCTGCCCAGTCATGTCCAACTCTAGGGGGCAATGTTTATCTCCATTTCTTTGCCGAGGGAGCCAGCGTTGTCCGAAGACATTTCCGTGGTCATGTAGCCAGCATAACTATACACCAAGGCGCATGGAAGGCTGTTATCTTCCCACTGAAGTGGTACCTATTTATCTACTCGCATTTGCTTGCTTTCAAACTGCTAGGTGGGCAGATGCTGGGACAGGAACCAGAGCTCACCCTTTCGTGTGGTGCTTGGGGCTCAAACTTAAGCTGTCAGCTTTGCTGCTGACAAGCTCAGTGATTTAACTGAACCACTGTATCCCCTGACACTAAATTAGTTAGTACCTAATTGTCAGTGCTTTTAACATGTGATATGGCAAATCAGAATACATAAAAAGGCTCAGTAGTCATTCCTTGTGAAGGGAAACAATAATAAGGATATAATAAATAATACTAGGATATGATATACTGGTATACTAGATTCTGTAACCATTAGGTTCTTGTAATACACATATGCCTTTGTATTTGTATCACATATATTATGCCTTTATATTTGTATCTCCTGTAACAAACATATTCTGTTATTAGGCCTGTAATGTATCTGGTATTTGTCAAACATATGTCCCTGCCATTTGACCTGAACCCATATCAATCTTCTCCCTGTTTTTTTCTTGTGCCATCTAAGAGCATGGTACGTATCTCCAAGGCATAATTTACACTTCAGTCTTAATTTATGTTGATCTGGATAGACTCCTACTTTCCAGGGCCAGGGGACCTAAGTGGCCAATTGAGTAAACAAAGAAATGCTCAAGATGACTAATTGGGAAGTTTCTATTCCCCCTTGCAGGGCAACAAGGAATGCACGGGCCTGCATTGGGAGGCCAGAGTTGGGTACTAAGCTGACGTCTCTGAGGGTATAAAAGGACGCCATACCTTCCCCAATGTGTGGCTATCTCCTCGCATGCATTGTATCTGTATGTTCTGGATATAGTTCCACCCAGTATTTTGTTTTTGGCCATAAATAAAATCTGTTTTGTTTTTTTTTTTGCAAACCTCATCTTGAGTCTCTCTCTTTGGCATTCTGGTGACTCAAGTGTATTTTGGGACCTTACACTTGTTTCCAAATAATCCTGGAATTATAATTATGAGGACACTGAGAGTCTTTAACAGAATCTCCAATATTCTCAACAGTTATATTTCTCTTTATTTCATGGAGGAGGGAGATGTGGTATTTAAATTGTTTTTTTTTTAATAAATTCACTATGTCAAGAGTGATAAATAATCCAGTTACAAGAAATTACATAACATTAAAACAAATATTTTATTTCCTTCAGAAATACTTTAAAAAGTTGAAAGGCATCCAACTGGTTTATGCCACTTACCACATTTTTTTCTTTTCCAGCCATACAGCAACCTTTTCCTTTTAGTTTTCCACAGCATCCTCCTTCCTAGATAGAAATAGGAAGATATAGAAATATTTCCAAATAAATTGAAAGCCCTATTAAGCAGGTATATACAAAAGTATGAAGGCTATTGCTTAACGCATTGTAAGCCGCCCTGAGTCTCCGGAGAAGGATGGCATATAAATCAAACCAATAAATAAATAAATAAATAAATAAATAAATAAATAAATAAATAAATAAATAAACAAACAAACAAACAAACAAACTGGAGCACATATGAAAGAACATGCAAACATTTGAAGAGTTGTGCTGGATCAGATTCAAGTGTCAGGGATAAAAGATAGGGTTTGGACTGAAGACACTGAACTTTAAGTCCCTATTCAACTATAGAATGACTTTGAACCAATTATTGTCTCTCACCCTAATCCACTTTCAAGGTAAGAATTAAATCAGGAGAGATACCATTGTAAATTATCCTCAGTTCTCAGAGAAAAGATAGACTTTAAAGGCAATAACAACAATAACAACAAATCAACAATTAATTCCCATGGTGGACAGTTACTGATTTATTTTGTACCTTGTTTTTTATTATACAAGAAATCAAATCAACTTACAATTCTAAAAACAATATAAAACCAATACAATTAAAATATGAAAAATAAAAGGGTTTGTCTAATGCAGTGATGGTGAGCCTTTTCTGGATTGAGTGCCCCCCACACACATGGGGGGAGCGCATGCACCCTCCCCCCACGCATGTGCAGCAGAGACCCGAAGACCAGCTGGCCAGAGGGAGGCACACATGCATGCCCAGCTTAGCTGGGGCGATGGTTCATGTGCCCACAGAGAGGGCGCTGCATGCCACCTCTGGCATGCATACCATAGGTTCACCATCACTTGCCTAGTGGATAAGGTGTTGGCCTAGAAACCAGGAGACAGTGAATTCTAGTCCCATTTTAGGCATGTAAGCCAGATGGGTGACTCTGGGGCAGTCACTCTCTCTCACCTTAATTCACCTCACAGGCTTATTCTTGTGGGGAAATATAGAAGGAGGAAGTAGTATTAGGTATATTCGCCACCTTGAGTTATTTATAAAAATAATAAAAGCAGGATGTAAATAAATATTAAATCTAAATTAAAATCGATATAGTAAACAAATAATTGATATGTGTTCCTCATTTTTCTAAATGTTGGAAGAAAGTGACCAAATTCATCTCCTCAAGGAAAGCATTTCATAGATTGGAAGCCACACAGAAGACCTTCCACCATGTATTAGCAGCAGGGACATCTTCAAAAAGATCCCCGGGCAGACAGGTTGATACTTGGGAGAGCAGTTCCTCAAATTGTCAAGCCCTAAACAATATTTAACTTGTGCCCCACAGGCAAGTAACAATTATTGTAGATTTCCACACGGGCAGCTAATCCCCATACCTTCGATCAGTTAGCAGTCTTCCTACTTATTTTTGCAACAATTGTGATTTCTGATCATTCTTGAGGGGTAACCCCTAAATGCAGTTTGTTTGTTTTTTGATAACAGTGTTTCTGTCTTGCCTGAGTATAATTTTAGCAGGTTCTCTCATTGAGCCCATTTTCCAAACCTCAGCAATGTTCCAGAATATTTCCTTGGAATTGGATGATAATGAGAAACAAAATTGGGTATCATTGGCCTTTAAAACTCAAGATTATTTATTTATTTATTTATTTATTTATTTATAATTAGACTTCTATACCGCCCTTCTCCCGAAGGACTCAGGGCGGTGTACAGCCATATTAAAACACATAGATTATCCCAGTGATTCTATGGAGACAACATAGGGACCAACATTGAAATTGAAAACCAACCCAGTAGGAGATAGTAGCAAATTACTTCAGTACTGTTGTCAAGTAAGCTACATAGACATGGCTATGAAGTAAGCAGAACTTTAGCTGAAGTCAAAGCAGATTCCATCTTCACATTTACTTGGAAATGTCAGTCTGATTTCATCACCAAGACATTTTATCTTTAGCTCCTCACCTTTGCAAATGTTCTGTACCCCTCCAGAATGGGTCTGTATCCTGTACAGCGGCAGAGATTTCCTATGTTACCAAATCAAGTTGAAAAAGTTAACAGGCATGTAAAACATAATGGAAAGAAAGTTATTTTAGTTTTTGCTTTTCATCTACCATGAAGAAATTCTTTTTTCTTTCTTCCAAGAAAGGAAACTGTCAATAGAGAAAAGAATCATTGTCTCTGGGGCTTTGATAACTTTGGAAAGCAGGATTCCAGTGTCAAAAGACATGACAACAAATTCACCAAGTCATGAGAGATCAACCTAATCATTTTCAAATGTATTTCTTGCTTTCTTCTATGATGAAAAGTAATTGTGCCAGTAAAGATGGGAGTTGTGGACTACCGTGTCTGGCAATCTTACCTTGAAAAGCATCTTCAATTTCTTCCATTCTAGGCTGAGGGTGATTACGAAGCAATGTATACATAGACATGACAATCCCAGGAGTGCAGAAACCACACTGTGATCCATGGCTTTTGGCTATTCTCTCCTAGAAGAAGAATTGGTTCATACAATATGCCATGACAAATCAACTAATCAACTTGCTTTTAGTGACAGATGTGAACACGAGTGTCTGGTCTGATTCATACATCACATTACATATAAATAGTAGGGTCTTTGGGTTTTTATATGAACTGCCAATTATTCATACAATGAACTGTAACTTAATTTAATCTGTGAACCTAAGCATTTGTTAACACATAGACACATCTTCCCAGTTTACCTGTACAGGGTGCAGCCTTGTCTTCGTGCTACCAATGCCTTCAACAGTGGTTACAGCTACATGATGGAGAGCACAGATAGGGAATAAACATGCATTTGCAGAATAATGGCTGAAGAAATGAATTAAGGAAGTTGCTTGTTTTATAAAAACTTCATTTCCCTAAAAAAGTACAATAAAATCAATGAAAGCCAATGTTCGGGATTAGGCTATCTCATACTGAAACTGGAACAGAGGTAGATACATAGGCATCATCTCAATGTTTTGGAAGATGACATCTCCCCATGGGTTATGCTGATTGGGCCTGATGAAAGTTGAAATCCTATGCAAATATTGGCCAAAGGATGAAGCTTCTGATTACCAACACCATTATTGGATAAAGATGTGAAAGGTAAATGAGAAAGAGAATAAACTGACATCAAGGCAATGATATTATCATTCCTTCAGATGATCATAATTCACTGTCATTCACTGAAATTTGGCAAATATTAATCTAAGACACTAGAGTTGAAAAAGCACAGTGATTTTAATAAATGCTATCCAATGCTTCAATAGTATTAAAATATTAGCAAAATTGTTAGACAAGATTTGAATGTTGAAACTTTAAATCCTATTGAACTTCAGGATTTCTGGAATCACAAAACCATAAGGCTGGAAGGGATCTTGGAAGTCTTCTAATCCAAGCTGAAATTTAGCTGATTAGAAATGTTGGGGAAAGTTTGTCCTACTGATAATCATCCCAAAGGTGCTTTTTTCAGGAGGCAACTGGGCTTTCTTGTTTTTCTTTGAAGATGTTTCACTTCTTATCCAAGAAGCTTCTTCAGCTCTGACTGGATGGTGGGGAATGGAAAGATTTATATTCCTTGCAGATAGCCGGTCATTGCATTCTTTTAGAAAGACGTTGAAGCCACTTGGAGGTTTATGACCTGGATGACTGAAAATCTCCATAGACTCCTACTAATAATCCATAAATTATGGCCCAGCAGTATATTCACATAGTTCTAACACATATCTGTACAAGGGACAGGAAGCAAAGATTTTGTGAAACATTTAATTTTTCTTGCATGCAATCTTTTTTCGACTTGCAAAGAAGTTTCAAGAGGGACAGACTGATTCTGACAAACACATATTCTCAGATATCCAGCATCTACCCTGTCTATCACAAATTCTGCATGCCCACATTCAAGACCTCTTCCATCTTAGTGAATGGGGTACAAAGGATACATGATTTTGTTTCGGGAGTTGTCAATCTTGGAAATCATGACTGTGCAAGCACCACAGCCTCCTTCTCCACAGCCCAGCTTGGTTCCACACAAGCCCACTAAGAGGATAGAGCTTAAGGAAAATGTACCAACATGGCTAATCACATACAGTCCTTTATCACTGAAAGTTTGTGCTCCTGGTAACAAGCTTGAATTGTAGTTCATAAGAGCAGGATAAAAAAAATCTGCCTTTTTGTTTAAGCTATCTGGGTTTATTCACATGTATTCCCTGGTGGGAAAACTGATTTTTAAGTATAGGATTTAATCAATTGATTTTTTTTAAAAAAAAACACACACACACAATTATTGAACAAGACTGGACTAAATTGGCTATAAACTCCTGAACTATGTTCGCACAGCATGTAATCATGCTTAACTTGATTACTGGATTCACAGAATATATGAAATCATAAAGTAACCAAAATCATCAAGGCACAAAAGCTAATAAAGATTAAAACAAATCATATCTTTTAATGTATTTATTTATCATATTTAGAAACCACTCATCTCCCTCACAGGGGGGCCTTGGCTGGTGGGTTGTTTTTTTTTTGCAAGTGATGTGAATACAGCCTCCAATTATTAACTTATTTGGTTGGTATGTCAAGAAGCACAGCCAATAATGGCACATGGCCTTCTCATTTCCAGTTCTTCAAGCAAGTCTTTAAATCAATCAGTTCTGAGCTGCCTTTTGCTAATCAGTGTTTTTTGTTGATGGCTCTTTGAGAGTTTACGCTAATTTAATGGGTTGTGTATAAAACTGCATACAAAGCTGGAAGTCTCATAATACGCCTCTTTTATGGCTTGGTGATTAATACGTCCAACTTCAATTGTGCATATATCCTTAAATAAATACAATTTTATCTTTTTAAATTCCTGGAGACGATCAGCTGGTGAAAAGGGAATAATTGATTTACATGCACTAGATATATTTATTTGTTCTATACATATGACTAAGAAAAAAAATCAGATTAGGCATTAATTCTCCAGCATAGAAGTCAAGGAATGTGTATTTCTAGTAAAATATATGATGTTCTGCTTGGAAACATTCTTAATGTAATTAGTACTATGCAATTATTTTTCCATGGCAAAGCTATTCAACTTTTTATGAAAAACAAATAAACTGGACCCTAATGGATGAACTTTCCCCATTAGTCTGCTAGTCTTTCCTGGTCTCTCTTTCAGCATCTAAGATTAACTATGATATAAGCACTAATATGCTACTTATTTTAAACAAGAGAGAAATCTTACAAAATCCAAACCAGTGAATCGATCCCCTTAAATTAGCTAGCCTATCCCTTTCCATCTCCTGAACTTCTGATATCCAAACTGAATTCCCTGGTATAGTTACTGCTCCAAAACCACATTTATTGCCTGAGCTAGATTTGTGCAACTTAAATGTAGTTGTTAGTTTGTGGTTGGATTAAGGTTAGGGTTGTGACCACAACTAGAGTTTATTCATGAGAAAAGGGAAGGTAAAGATATATTTGTGACACCTGGCATTTTGTTTGGCAGTTTATTGAAGCCTTATTATGTTATCCGGGAAATGTATTTTAGCAAAGGGAATGCCAGTTCTTAGGAAAACAATTGTCATCAAGCAACAGAAATTGGAAGGAGAGCAGTCATCCTTCATATCCTCCAGTAATGGCCAACTGTAACTATAACATAAGTTATTGCAATTGGTGATAACTGAGGCTATATAGAAGAATTTAGGACTTGATAATAAGGATCATCAGATAAGTGGAAGGTAAGAGAGGTTGGGTGGTTGATGGGGCATTGCTTGTTCATCCTGAAATCAGATTTGATTAGAAAAAAGCCATGCTATTTTCCAGGTTAGGCATTAATTTTCCAACATAGGAATCAATGAATGTAGAAGTAGTTCAGCTTCTTTTGTACTAATCCAATGCAAGGCAGAAGATCAAAGATATCCATCTTCTCACCCAGAGATTTTACTATCAGTTGTGAATGTGCTTTCATTCAGTTTAATTCTGGCAACACTAGAAATATTGGGACTAACAGAATTAACAGCATGGAATCCTCAGAAATCTTAAAACTTATTTTACTGTACTCTGGTCTGCTCCCAAATCCTTAGGCTACCTGGAAATATATGGACTATTTTAAATTCCATACAGTGCATGTTTCTTGAGCTCAGATACATTTCCTTCTAAGGTAGGTTAGCAAAGTAGTTTCTGGATCCACATTCTTCTCCACTATCTAAAAAGAAAAAAGAAAAATAGTTTCTTAAAACACATTTAACTATAAATAGTATGTTGCAGCTAATTTCAGAAACAAACAAACTGATATCATTCATCAGCATCTGATTACATTGTAGAAGTCAGAACATTCTACCCTTTGTGAGTGAATTTCACAAACCACCCAATCTCTTTGACTAAGTACCATTTCTTAAAGGAAATACTCCTGTCCTTGAGGTCAAATTACATAGCATTTACAATATAAAGCTGCAGATGACAATGACTTTTGGAAGTAATCAGGTTCAGGCCTGATCAATATTGTATAGGACAACATGTTCAGGCCTGATCAATATTGTATAGGACAACATGTTGCAAGACAATAGAAAGTCAAAACAAATTGTGGAAGATGACAAAAATAAATCACTTTTGCATTGCTGCCAAGCAAATGTTTTGGATATGTTTATGCAGTCACAAGGAGTTAAGCTCAGTTCAAGGTATATTTACATTTCCGGTGGCTTTCAAACAGGTTTTGGTGCCTTTAATTATTCATTTTTAAAAAGGTTTCTTATATGTTTCCTTGTTTTGATTTAAGTGTTAATAGTCTTACTGTTTAGTAGAAAGAATAATTTCAGCTTAAATAAATGGGCAATATTCTTACTGAAATTGTAGAATAAAAATCAACTACGTTTGACCAAAAAAAAATTGTACTAAACACCTCCTATCATATACTGTGGGCTAGAAATATCTCTTGAAATCACAAATTAAGTGTACTTTGTCTCCCCAGTCCAGCGTAGCATACTAGGTGCTCTATGCACCAAAGCTTAGGTTTTCAGTCACGAGCATCCAGTGTACCAAGATCTGGATGGCACTACCTGTTCTGCCAACAAAGCATACTTTCCTCCCTAATTGCAGTACAAGACTGATAGACACTGAGTCAGGTTGTTCATTTACTCTTCAAGGTAGATTTTATGGTGCAGTTACACTGAACTCCTACTTGCTTTTCTTGCCACTCCATTCTTGCTCTACCTTTAAGCCAGATTTTTAATTGAGTTATTTGTCAGCATTTTTCTGTAATAGTGCTTCTTGTTGATTCCTGATTACTTTCAATGTCTTTCTCTGGAAACTCTTCCCTTAAGCTATTAAATATCTACAGTGCCTAATTTTGCATCATATACATAATAACTGTAGTTAATCAGCTTATAGTTCAGTAGATTGTGTGAACCAAATTAACTGTAGTTAATCATCTTATAGTTCAGTAGATTGTATGTACCCAGACAGATGGATAGCCATTGCATACTCATGGCTAAGTGAACTCCTTTTCTAGAGTGGTACAGCAGTAAATTAAAATACAAATGAACGACAAAGGTTGGGTATAATAGGCTAAAATGGCAGCTATAATTTGAGCCATTTGAGCAGTTTCAAGGTGCTGGGCGGCCTGGGCCAGGGGTGAAATCCAGCAGGTTCTGACAGCTTCTGGAGAACTGGTAGCAGAAATTTTGAGCACTTTGGAGAACCAGCAAATACCACCTCTGGCTGGCCCCAGAGTGGGGTGGGAATGGAGATTTTGCAGTATCATTCCCCTGGAATGGGTTGGGAATGGGGATTTTGCAGTATCCTTCCCCTGGAGTGGAGTAGGAATGAAGATTTTGCAGTATCCTTCCCCTGCCACACCCACGAAGCCACACCATGCCTACCAAGCCACACCCACAGAACCGGTAGTAAAAAAAATTGCCCCCCTATTGCTACTGACTAAACATGCAGTTTTTCTACCTTAATTTCTTTAAGTGATATGTGGGGTATGAGATCTTGAGCAGGAGAAAATTTTGACCTGCTGAACTCTAGCCAATTTAGTTTTAATTATTAACAATAATGTTTGTTTCTACCTTTTCGGATTAGAATCAATTATAAAACTGCTTTTCAGTTGAAAACTTTAATCCCGGGTCAAAAAATCAAAAATCTATGCTTGCTTCTCTTCCTGACAAGGTACTGAATTACTTTTGTTATTAACAGATTATCTCAGCACATTTCTTATATTTGTGTAGAAGAAGTTCACTGTGTACTTTAAGTTGTGGTGGTGATGATGCTGTAACACAAATTAAGCATTTGTTAATGTTCATTTTGCCTGGACTGGCAAAAGGTAAATGCACATTTAGGATAGGTAAATGCACATTTCTTGGCATAATTTGGTTTACTGCAGGGGTGGGTTCTACTTATCTTTACTACCGTTTGCAACGGGATCGCAAATTTACTGCCATAAAATGTGGCAATTAGTTAAGGAAGCTTCTTTAAAGGAGATTGAGGAAATTGATACTGACTTTACAGAGCCATAATATTTTGTAGCAGTGTGCTATTCAATAATAATTGCTGGGGAGGTAACGACAGTCTGTGGAAGCAGACTGGATTGCATAAACCTTTGGGATGATCCAGCAAGATCATTCAGTATAATACACGTTAAACAACAAGATCATAATTTCAAAGTCTATTTCCTCCTGCATGTTCATTTGTTATCATTTTACAGGAACTACTTGTCACATAAAAACTGAATCAGGACTAAGCTACATTTCTAACCAAAAAAAAACCCTTGTTGCTACTGCCATTGATTTAATGGGACATCAATTTTCCACCAAGACTGTCAGGTACAAGGGAAAAGGTTTGCCCCCATCCCCTCAACTTCCCCAGTCTAGTTCCTTCCACATATGTAGGGCCTGCAACTCAGAGGTAGGTTTCAACAGGTTCTGACCAGTTCTGGAGAACCAGCAGCAGAAATTTTGAGTAGTTCAGAGAACCGGTATATACCATCTCTGACTGGCCCCGCCCCCATCTATTCTCTGCCTCCTGAGTCCCAGACGATCAGAAGGAAATGGGGATTTTGCAGTAACCTTTCCCTGAAGTGGGGAGGGAATAGAGATTTTACAGTATCCTTCCCCTGCCATGCCCAGCAAGCCACGCCCAACAAGCCATGCCATGCCCAACAAGCCACACCCACAGAACCAGTAGTAAAAAATTTTGAAACCACTGCTGCAACTCTCATAATTTCTAGCCATCTATAAACCACCTGTTTTGGGAAAGCTGATTTAATGCTTATGTATTCAAACAAAGTCAAGTCAAGCCATTCATGTAATACATCATTGGGACATTAAGTGTATAAGGAGTGGTAAAATAAATGCATATGGTCCTCCTTTGATTGAAGTAGCTATTTTTCTTTTTATATCACCTTCTTACAAAATCAATACTAATCAAAAATTTCCAGTTAAATACAACGACACAGTCATGCTATAATGAAATGGAAAAATAGTATGATTTTGACTGTTGGTTTGAGAAGTTAAATGCTTAATGAACTTCAAATGATAGCCAGATTAATAAATATAGGTAGTCCTCCATTTACGATCACAATTGAGCCCAAAACTTCTGTTGTTAAGCAAGACAGTGGTTAAATAAATTTTTCCCATTTTACTACTTTTCTTGCCACAGTTGTTAATTCAATCACTGCTGTTGTTAAATTAGTAATACAATTGCTAAGTGAATCTGGCTTCTCCATTGACTTTCCTTGTCAGAGGGTTACAAAAGGTGATCACACGACCTCAGGACACTGCAACCATCATAAATATGAGGCAGTTGTCAAATGTCTGAATTTTGATCATGTGGCTTTGGGGGTGCCGCAAGGGTCGTAAGTTTGAAAAACAGTCATGTCACTTTTTTCAGCGCTGTTGTAACTCCGAACAGTCACTAAATGGACTGTTGTAAGGACTACCTGTATTATTTTTGGCCTGTTTTTTTTTACATCTTATCAAATCCTCCTATCACTCATCATAGTAGCCTTGAAGTCACATTGAAATAACTATACCAGTTATTTACCAGGCTGCCAAAAATAGAGACAAGGTAACCTTTCTCATCAACTGCAATATATCGTGTTCTATCCTAAACTCTCGGTCAATTCATTTTCAGAGTTTGCTGAAATGCTCAGCTCTACTTTGTGCCTCTTCTTCTGGTAGCATTTCATCATCTTTCCATGCTGCAGTGGGTTTTGAAGGATCTGAACAAACTTGCACCACAAAGCCCGCTTACGTCAAAGTGACTGTCACAGAACTCATGCATCTTTTACTTACAGTGTGGACTCATTTTATGAAGCAAGTAATCCAAATTATCTGCCAACCTTTTCCCAAGGTTGAGTTGTTAAATCAATACTGGCACCCTTTCAGAGGATTTTTGACTCATGGAAGAGACAGGGCTGATGTAAAACTTACTATAGGGAGGGGGGAGGGGAGAGGATTTGCAAGGGTTTCAGTTAATGTTTAGATCCATAAAAGTCTGGAACAAACACTTTTGCACATTTTGTATCGTGAGTTGTTAATCTGTCATCAAATATATTCTTAACAGGGATTTGGACTCCATCTACCTCAACCCCAGCCTCAGTGTGATTTTCAATGGACCATACTCTAAAGAAGATGTACATTGTGAATGCTGCCAGAATTGTTTTCATGAAGAGGAAGGCTCTAGAACAGTGATGGCTAACTTTTTCTGGACTGAGTTCCCAAAGCATGCGTGCATGCGAATGCGTGCGCAAGAACCTGAACCCCCAAAATGCAATGAGTGTGCGGGCCCTGCACACGTGTCCCGCCCCCACACATGTGCAGCAGAGATCCAATGACCAGCTGGCTGGCGGGAAGCACATGCACATGCACAACGGAGCTGAACTGGGGCGACGGCTTGCATGCCCACAGAGAGGGCGCTGCATGCTACCTGTGGCACACGTGCCATAGGTTTGCCATTATGGCTCTAGAAGCATCTAGATGAGGTAACTATGAACATATTGCCTATTCTGCTTGATCTGCTAGCAGCTCTTGAAGAATTCAAAAGAGGAAGGGGATTGTTGCAATATTTTCAGGATCAGACTCAATAAGATCAACAAGAGTTAAAGATTTAACTATATATTCTTTTATTTACATTAGGCATTCTATATTCACTGAATATTCACAGATAGAAGCAAGGGAAATGGTGTAGGTAGCTCCTTATATATACAAT